GAGCAGGGAGCCCGATGCGGGACTCAATCCCGGGACTCCAGGATCATGACCTGAGCCGAAAGCAGTCGCTCAACCAACTGAGCCACCCAGGCGCCCTTAATTTTATTTTATTATTTTTAAAGATTTTATTTATTTTTTTGACAGAGAGAGAGTGAGAGAGCACAAGCAGGGGGAGCAGCAGGAGAGGGAGAAGTAGGCTCCCTCCCCGCTGAGAAGGGAGCCTGATGTGGGGCTCCATCCCAGGACTCTGGGATCATGTGAAGTGAATGAAAGCAGACGCTTAAGCTTAACTGACTGAGCCACCAGGTGCCGCTCACCTTTATTTTTGAAAGTTTTTTTCCCATGGCTTATAGAATTCTAGGTTGATAGGTTTTGATTGTTTGTTTTTTGTTTTGTTTTTTGTTTTAGCACTTTAGAGACCTCCATTCCTTTGCCTGACTTGTATAGTTTCTGATGAGAAGTCTGGGGGAAATTCTTATCTTTTTTCCCCTCTATATGTAATTTTCCTGTTTTCTCTGGCTGCTTTTAAGACTTTTCTCTTAATCACTGACTTTCAGCTACTTGATATGACATGTCTAAGCATGGTTTTCTTTGTGTTTATCCTGCTTGTAGTTTATCAAATTTCTTGACACCTTGTATAGTTTTCATCAAATTCAGGAACATTTGGCCATTATTTTTTCAAATATTATTTCTCCTTTTTCCTTCTCGTTTTTGGGACTCATTTATATATGTTATATAGATATTATCCCACAGGTCACAGAGACTTTGCTCATTTTTTTTCCCTAGCCTTTTACTCTATCTTCAGGTTTTACTAATTTTTTTTTTTTAAGTAGGCTCCACGCCCAGCATGGAGCTCAATATGTGGCTTGAACTCAAGACCTGAGATAAGACCTGAGCTGAGTTGGGACTCTCAACCAGCTGATCCACCCAGGTGCCCCATGGTTTTTCTAATTTTATTTCCTACTTTGTCAAATTTGTTAATCATATCCTCTGAATTTTTTATTTGAGATATTTTATTTTTCATCTCTAGAATTTTTATTAGGATTTTTAGAAAAAGTATTCCATTTTCTTTCATCATGTTCATGCTTTCCTTGAAGTACTTAGATATACGATAGCTTTCTAATGTCTTTAATGTCTATAATCTCTCATTTTGGAGTCTTTATTGATTGATTTTGGTCTTGATTATGAGCACATATTCTTGTTTCTTGGCATGTCTAATAATGGCATGCTGAACATTGTGAATGTTACATTGCTAGATATCTGAAATTTTTTTGTCTTTCATGAGTATTGGGTTTCATTCGGGTAGGCAGTTAAGTAATTTATGATTAGTTTGATCATGTGAGCTTGCTTTTAGTTTGTTAGGGCAGCTTTAGAGTACATTTTATTCTAAGAACAGTTTATCCTACTACTATGGCATGGTCCTTGTGGGGTTTCTGCTGAATGCCTTTAGTGATCAATGAGGACTCTCCAGTCTAGCTTGTGAGATATTAAGTGATTTGCAGCCCAGTGTGAACTTGAACTATTCAGCTTATAGCTTTCTGGTTGGTCCTTGACTGACCTGGTTGAGTTTCACACCATGTATGGGCATCTTAGTGTTCAACAAAGCATCGAATTTCTGGCTCTTTTTCAGCATAGTTCTCTCTCTCTCTCTCTCCCTGATTTTCCCTCTTCTCCTTGGAATTCTATCCCAGAACTCCTAGACACCTCTGCATCCTTGAATTCCAGTTTGTCTCCTCAGCTCTTCTAACTCAGGTAGACTACTGCTTGACATTCTGCTCTCTACTCCCGTTTGCAGTGTACCTCTAGGCAGAAAGGTGGGGCAATCCTAGGGTTCACCTTGTTAGTTTGGTTTCTCACTGGGATTATATGCCTGTGCTGCCTGTTCAATGTCTGAAAATATTTGTTTCATATATTTGTCCAGCTTCTAGTTGCTCAAGGTGAGAAGATAAATTTCAGTCTTTGTTTCTGCATCATGACTAGAAGTGTGTAAAATTTTAAAAATATTTTATTACCTGTTGTTTGTGCATGGTTTACTGTTCTTTTGCCAAGAAAAGAAAGTGCTTTTCTTTTAGAAGATATTCTCAAGTGATTTCATAGTTCAACAGTAATTATTTTATTTACTTATTTGTTATTATTATTTTATTTTTTTAAAGTTTATTCATTTTTTAAGTTAATCTCTATATGCAGCATGGGCTCGAACTCAAGACCCCAAGATCAAGAGTCATATGCTCTTCTGACTAAGCCAGCCAGGTGCCCCCAATCAATTCACTATTCGTTATTTTAGTGGTGAATAAAACTTTTATAAAATACAAACTTTTTTTTTTTAGATTTTTTAAATTTTTTTATTTGACAGAGAGAGAGACAGCGAGAGAGGGATCACAAGCATGGGGAGTGGGAGAGGGAGAAGCAGGCTTGCAGCTGAGCAGGGAGCCCGATGCGGGGCTCTATCCCAGGACCCTGGGATCATGACCTGAGCTGAAGGCAGACGCTTAACGACTGAGCCACCCAGGCGCCCTTATAAAATACAAATTTATTGTTGAGTATAGCATTAGCTCTTTTCACGTTTTTTTTTTAAATAAAATTTTATTTATTTGTCAGAGAGAGAGAGAGTGTGCATGCCCAAGCAGGGGGAGGGTTAGGCAGAGGGAGAAGCAGGCTCCCCTCTGAGCAAGTAGCCTGATGCAGGACTCGATCCCAGGATGCTGGGATCATGATCTGAGCCAAAGGCAGAGGCTTAACCTACTGAGCCGCCCAGGCATACTGCTCCTTTCAGCTTTTATATGGTGGTTTTTAGTGTGAGGAAAGATTTAGACCCTCTACACCACTAAAGTCTTGAGGGTCCATGTTATATATAGTTGAACAACATTCATGTCACTGTCAAGTGTGAATATGTTTTTTCCTGTTCTGTAATAATTGAGGTTGAAAAGAACAATTTGGTTCCTAGATTTAAATTTATATTCAAGTGTGTTGGGTTCTTTGAAGACAAAACCAACATGTAGCTTTTGTCTCTGTAGGATTGTTTTGTTCACTGTTTGGGGTATATTAATGAATGTTAAGTGCTTAAACAAGTAAAAACAAATGATCAGTGCTTCCCTGTCCCTCTGTGTCCCCCTGTGTTTCTAGGTAACTATAACTACTCAATATTGCAGCCATGGAGTCCATGCTTAATAAGTTAAAGAGTACTGTTACAAAAGTAACAGCTGATGTCACTAGTGCTGTAATGGGAAATCCTGTCACTAGAGAATTTGATGTTGGTCGACACATTGCCAGTGGTGGCAATGGGCTAGCTTGGAAGATTTTCAATGGCACAAAAAAATCAACAAAACAGGTAAGTTTCAATTCAGAGTCCATTTGGCAAAAACACACATGCTAATTAAGTACCATAATGTGCATATGCATTTTTATGTTAAGAAATGTCAAAAGTAATGGGTTCTTTACTTCTCATTTCTATCTAATGAAGTCATACAAAAATAAATGCTTTTAAATATGCCCTGAATCTCCTGGTTACAAATATATTGTTTGATATATCATCCCATCTTGTAATTTAATTTTGCTTACTTAATAAAAATTAATGTATCTGTTGAGCAAAGAAGCATATTAGATTTTTAATTTTTAAATTTAATTTTTAAAAAAATTTTTAAAGATTTTTATTTATTTGTCAGAGAGAGTGAGAGGGAGAGAGCACAAGCAAGGGGAGGGGCAGGCAGAGGGAGAAGCAGGCTCCCCGCTGAGCAAGGAGCCCAGTGTGGGACTCAATCCCAGGACCCTGGGATCATGACCTGAGCTGAAGACAGATGCTTAACCGACTGAGCCACCCACGCATCCTGCATATTAGAATTTTAGTGTTTCTTTTAGAATAAAAATTGTGTTCCTTTTCAAATTTGTCAATATGCTATTGGCAAAATACTCCATTAAATTTTTCCAGCATTAATGCATTCTTATTTAGTGCATTCTTATTGCCCTTTTATTTTATAGTCTTCTGGAAAATAGACTTCTGTAACATTCTTTTGTGTTTAACTTGATAGTTTTTATTACCAGAAGGGAGTAAATTTGTGGAATAGTAATGTGTTTTACAATATATTGATTCAAAGTTATTTTAAAACTGTTCTTTCAGTAGAGTCATTTGAATGAGTTGTATTTTTATTTTTATTTTTTTAATTTGACCTAAGAGACCAACAGATGGTTCTTAGAAATGTGGAGGATTGTTAGTGTTAAATTTTACTAACAGTTTTCTGTTGGAATTGTTAAAGAATTGAAAAACCTCCAGCTTTAAAACCTCTGTAGAAATAGGTTCTTTAAAAAGAAAAATCACTGTTTCCAAAGGTACTTTTATTTCTCTACAAGTGAAACATACGGATTATAAGACGTTTGGGATTAATTACACATGTTTTCCAGTGACTCTGTCCCAGTTATACAGTTGTGGATATGCATTATTTTTGACTTTTCCAAAGTCAGCTTATTTCCCAAACAGTAAGTGTATTAAAGACTGAATCGGCTTTGGTTATCCTTTTATGAAGTAGGAATCTTGGTCTTGTGATAGATTGCTGGTATGTAGTTTATATCTGCCCTGTAAATCTTGTTTTTATTGCCATTTGGTTGAAAGTCTTTAAGTTCAGAGCTGATCTGTATTTTAAATGCTGATTGATTTGTCATTTTTGAACAATGTTTTCTCTCTCAATTCATCAAGAGCTCAAAAAAAAGGTGGTTTCTTGAGTATTGAATGCTTAAAAAGCTATTAATCAGGCCATGAAGTTATGTAAATGACCAACCTCTAACACTAGCTTTTATAATCAGTTATATAAGGGGAAAATGAAAGAACACCAAATGTACTAAATATTGCATTATTTATTAAGGATGTAACATAATAGTGTCTTTGCGCTTAGCCAAAAGAGTTCTAGTTGTGTTTGTATCAGAAGTCCATATGTGGAAATTCTCTGATAATGTTGAGGCTTCTGTTACTGTTCATAGAACATGAAAACCAGGCATAAAAAATAGGTAATTGATTAGATATTGCACAGTAATACACCAGTTCTCAACTGCTGAGTGCCAGAATTGGGTTCTCTTAGGAGACTACTATATTCTTCCCCCCGAATTTATTGCTTTGCGGAAAAAGATAGTTTTGGAATATATCTGTGCTCTCTCTGGATACAGTTTTGAATCTTCTTTCTTTACTTCTTTCAGACCTAAGGTGTCTGACCTGAGTATCTGGACTACTGGCTAATTCCTTAAGGAACAGCTAAGTCTTTAACCACCTTGGCATTGAAGCCTCATTTTAATTTCTCCCTTAATTGTAGTTTTAATTCTTTTTCAGTGATCTCATTTTTTAATAAAAGGGAATTATAGAAGATAGATAATCTAGAGCTGTGCTATCCACTATGGTAACCACAGGCTACATATGCCTATTTCAATTAGTAAAAATTAAATTCAGTTCCTTAGGGGCACTAGTCACATATTCAAGGTTCCTTAGCTCTGTGGGACTAGTATTACCGTACTGGACAATGCACATATAGAACTTTTGATCATTACCGAAAGTTCTGTATGACAACACTGATCTTAGAGAAACCAGGAGAAAAATAATGGAAAAGGATATTCTTCTTGGTCCTTTTTTCCCCCCTCGCATGAAGGGACACTGAGAGCATTTTTCTTAACCCTCTCAGCCTTTCTTGGTCTAGTATACAGTGTACTTGATTGCATTTGTGTTTTATAGCAGATTATATGATCTTAAATTTGACTTTGAGGTAACATCAGGTTAGGGATTTAGGGGCAGGAGGTTCTGTGTACTTTTTTGTTAGGGTTATTTCAAGTTCACAGTAGTACATGATGAATTATAATTTTCAGATCATGTACAACTTTTGCCTTTTTAATGTAAATGTTTGAAAGCCTCTGAAAGGAGTGGAGTAGTAATAAAAGCACCTACAGAACAGATGAAAAAAGTACATATTTATGAAACTTGGAATGTAGGAAGATAAAAAGAATTGGTAAATAAAAATTTACTTGTGTGCCTGGTAACATCATTGTACCTGATTGGACATCTATATTATTATTATTCTGGGTTTATGATTCCAAAAACCAATATCTGTTGTTTTTGTTTTTGTTCTTGAAAGATATTCTTTGAAGAAACATCTCCTAATAAGTAATTTATGAAAGTTCAGTTAAGCGGCGCCTGGGTGGCTCAGTCGGTTAAGCGTCTGCCTTCGGCTCAGGTTATGATCCCGGAGTCCCAGGATCGAGTCCCGTTGTCGGGCTCCCTGCTCAGTGGGGAGTCTGCCTCTCCCTCTCCATCTGCCTCTCTCCCTACTCATGCTCTTTCTCGATCTCTCTCTCTCAAATAAATAAATAAAATCTTAAAAAAAAACACAACGAAAGTGCAATTAAGAATTCCAAGAGTTTTCAAGAAAAGTTTAGAGTTGATTTTTTACAGTTAAATAAGGTGTTTAGAGCAGTTTTGTATATAAAATTAAGATTTTTAAAAGTTATTATTTGGGTAAACTTTAACACAACATGTAAATGTGTTGAAATGGATAGATCATTAATTATAGCCTATGAGCATTTGAAGCTCCTATGTAGGCTTATGTATTATTTAGTTTCCTTTTGAGTGTTCATCTAGAAGCAACTCTTGGTTCCTAACCCTTACTCTTTTTAGAATTTTAGTAGAGATGTTATAAGACATTTCAGGATGACATTTAGGGAATAAAAATTGTGTCTATTTAGTTTTTTAAATATAAGCATATTTTTAAATTACGTGGAATAGTGCACAAATCATGAGTGTACAACTTGATGAATGTTCAGTGTGAGCACACCAGTAACCAACATCCAGATCAAGGAAACATTGCTAATCTTCATCATGCCTTTTCTTAGTCATTACCTCTCCCCATTCTTCTCTCCAGTGGTAACTGCTATCCTGTCCTTTGACTCTTGAGAGTAATTTTTCCTGTTTTTGAACTTTAATTTTTTTTGTGTGTGTGTGTTTGTATTGCTTGTTTGTTTTTGCACTTTATTTAAATGGAATCATGGTAGGTGCTCCTGTGTTTGGTTCCTTTTCCTTAAATGTATGTTCATGGGATACATCTAGGTTGTTGAACATAGCAGTTTTTCTTTTCATTAAAACACAGGGTACTGCTATGAACATTTTCTGGCCTGTTTCTTTTGCCCTGACTACTGCATAAGCTTTAAAACCAGTTAAATGACTGTTCCTATGAGGATAATGAAGATAGATAGATTTTTTTAAATTATGTAATGAATATTTAACTGATACTCATTATTATAGCCACTCTACCAGATGTAGTCTTGGACATGTCCCTTCCTTACTGCAAAATCTACATTATATTATCCAAATGCCAGTATTTAGGTGAGGCTTGCTGGTATTGTGTAGGCAAAGGCATAATTAAATTATTATGAAAAGCTAAAGTATAATAAATTAGAAGTTTTAAATAAAAGAAACCAAAAAAAGGAAAAAAAGAAACCATTGTGCAAAGCTAAATGTGTTAGTCAAGTAGCTTAGGTCAATAATGATCATAGACTATCTTTAATAATTTTAAGGGGTATATCTTGTTACTCCTCAGTCTTCTCAAATATCAAGTTGTTTTAACTTAATCTAAATAAAAATTTAAGTTTTGTTTTATTGTTTTAAAAAAGGAACTTTGCCCTGAAATCACATGAAAAATGAAGAAGAGTATGATGTTTGCCAGTCATCACTGATCAGTCATGAAAGGTCTATAAAATAGAGTTTACAGGGAATATCTGTGTCTCAGAAACCATCCCTGATGGCTTTGAGGGATAGGTTAGTGGAGGTCATGATTACTACTAGGGAATCCTAGACACATTGGTATATATCTACTTAGATTTTATTACTTAGACTGTCTTGTTTTCAGCAAGAGTTCAACTTTGTAGTAAGGTAAGTAGCTTTAAAAAGTTATAAATTAGACTTGCATCAAAAGGTAGTCTCCATCTTGACAAGTATTAATTTTCAGAATAATTTATTTTATAGCCATTTTTATTTAAAGATAGGCGATTGAGAAAAAACACTTTTTAGTAGGTAACTTCCTTTGCCAATGTGTTTTCAAGACTATGAAGTGAATAAAAAAACAAAAGAGTGCCAAATACTCTTACATTTTGTTTTAGTAATTTTTGTATAAAAAAAGAGACTCCAAATTTAATTAGAATTAACAGTTGACTCTTAAGTGGAAGATATTTCGGGTAATTGCACTGCCTCATCTTTTCTGTATATTTGAAAATTTTCATAATAAAGAGTCAAAAAAGGTTTCAATTCGGGATGATAATGGAAAGCTTCCAGTAACTGCTTGTTTTTATTGACCGCTAGGCAATAAACATCTGAATGTCGTCTAGGTGTAGATCCTGTAGTGGATACAGAGACACTTAGGTCATGGTTTCTTTGTTCTTGGGAGGGGGCATGGTTTCTTTTTTTAAGAAGCTTGTAATATGCGTAAGGTAACAGGACTTTTACACAAGTGATATGTGTTAACAGGGTGGGTAGTGAAGTAGTAGAAGGAAAACATAAATTAAAAGACGATAGTCTGTTCTGACAAAAAGTTTTGAGGTGCAGGCTAAGAGTTTTTAGGAAGTCAGTATGAGGTCTGAGGGTTAGTTAGTCACAACTTTATTGAAATTGGTTTATTTTATTTATTTATTTTTTTAAAGATTTTATTTATTTATTTGACAGAGACACAGCAAGAGGGGGAACACGAGCAGGGGGAGTGGGAGAGGGAGAAGCAGGCTTCCTGCGGAGCAGGGAGCCCAATGCGGGGCTTGATCCCGGGATCATAACATGAGCTGAAGGCAGATGCTTAATGACTGAGCCACCCAGGCGCCCCGAAATTGGTTAATTTTAATTAAACCAATTGGAACAAAGAGAAAATCTTTTTAAGATGGTTGATAATCTTTTCTGATCTATGTAAGAATCTTTTATCTGTGACTTAAAATAATAAATGAATATCTGAGAGAATTTTGTGTTGTTTCTTTTTCTTTATGAACTATAGTGTTTTTCCTTAAGAGTGGTGAAATTGCAAGAGCTCAAGAGCCATTTCATATGATCTTTTTTGTAAGGACTTAAAACATCTCGAAAAAATAAACACATTTAAATTAGATGCATTTATAAAATGTGTTGTAGCAGAACACTTACTAAAATAAGATTGTGTGCACGAATAGTGAGATAGGAACTTGAACTTCTAGGTCATTTGTTTTTAGTTCAAATTAATATTACATAACACTCTTAGCTCTTGATAGTCCTTTGTCTCATAATGATCAAAAGAGCTAAGATTATGAAAAAAAAAGAGCTAAGATTATATATTTATACATGGATGCTATTTAAATATCTCAAATGATTGTTTTCCTGAAGACATACGTTGTGTTTTCCTGGGGTGCTCTGTATTTATTGTCCCTGTATTATTTCTGGGAAGACAGAATGGTGTATTGGCTAAGCATGTGGTCCTCAGAGTTAAAATGACTAGATTTGAATCTTGATCTTACCAATTGTGAGATTTTAAATAATACATATACCTTCTCCACAGTGTCTTCATCTCTGAAATGAGGATAATAGCTTGTCTTGTAGGATTGCTGTGAGAAATGAAATCACAAATGCTTTGGGAATGGGATGTTCAAGTTGAGTTACTAAATAATCCCTTTGTTATCACTTTTCAGAGACTGAATCCTCTAAAATCCCTAACTTACTTATATACATTTAAGGAGCCTCCAACTTAAAACAAGTTGTGTTTGAGAAATTTATTGGTTTGGGATTCTGCAGTGAATCTCTGTTAGGTAATTAAGTTGCCAGGCTAACTTGTAAAAAACAATAATTCCAATGTAGCAGAAATAATAAGAGAACAATAAAATGGAAAAATATTGTCTTGGATATTGATAGTTGAGTAGTAGTAGGTTTGAATTAGAGACTTTTGAAAGATACTTGTATAAAAATTCTGAAAGTCATTCAAAATCTTTCAAAGAATTTTGGTAGGCCAGCATTGATTCTTTGCTAATTTTGCTTCCAACTTTATCATTTTTCTTTCCATTTATGTTGGAGATCTAGCATCACTGACATGTTACACAGTGGTAATATATCAGTTGTCAATACAGCTATTTTTTTATTGACTTGTTAAGCTTGGGTAACTGGACAGGAACTATTTTTCCTTGGGTAACAGAGAAAATGAAAGGAAGAAGATGATTAAGGAGGATGTGTGCTTTTAGTAGTACAAATAAGCTGTGAGTGATCTAAAAGAGAGACAGTGGGAGAGCAGCTTCCAGTACTGGTACCATTCATTCCCAGTTAACTGCCCAAAATAAGACAGGGGTAGGCTGGAAGGAAAGAGTGAGTGTAGGTTATTCATATGTAAAAGTTGCTTACAAAATGGGTTTTTATATAAACAAGCACTTCTTGACATACACAACTTTTCTTCCAAAAAAATGATTCAAGATTTTATAGGGTTATCAGGTTATCCAGGGTTATCATTATGAGTAACATTTTGAATTTTTAAACATTTTAACTTTTATGTGAATTCTGGTTAAATAAGAGATAACTACATAGGGTTCGGCACATTACATACACCTTGTGTGTATCAGGCTTCAAACATGGAGATTTTCCTATGTTCTCCTTAGATAGGGTTCTAGGTCTCATACTTTTCAAAATATTTAGATTTGCTAATAATGAAGGAAACAACTTTTTGATATCAGAAAAGTATTACAATGGTGCTATAATTTCCATGACATTAGATTTTAGTTATTTCTATTTGTAGACTGTTGTGACACTTGAATAAAATCTTATTACTTTTGTATATTCATGATTAAAATTAGACGCACAATTCTTTCACTAGGAAGTGGCTGTTTTTGTCTTTGATAAAAAGCTGATTGACAAATATCAAAAATTTGAAAAGGATCAAATCATTGATTCTCTAAAACGAGGAGTCCAACAGTTAACTCGACTACGGCACCCTCGACTTCTTACTGTCCAGCATCCTTTAGAAGAATCCAGGTAAATTTTTATAAAAACTTACATAAATGACTTGTTGAACAAATAGTTAATAATTGTATGTTTAAATTCTGTCTGTGGAGCATGCTGTCAGTGAAAAATTCTTAGAAACTGAGTGTTAAGGATTTATTATTTCTGTAAAATTTATTTGCATATGCTATGTATTTGCCTCTTTTTGAAATATTAATAAAAGTTTTCTTCACAGTTGCCATCAGTCTGTGCCATCAGTCTCTATGCTCAGCACTACAGTGGTCAAAGTGGAAGATACAGAAGTATAGCATACGGTCCACGTCTGAAAGTAGCTCTCCTTGTTTATTTTATAGAATATTTTGTACCCTTTGCATTGATTACATATTTGTGGGCTCTTTTTATGTGTGTTTCAGGTACTCTTCTAAACATGTAACCTTCTGATATGCTGAGCATATCATATGTGTAACCTGCAGTTACTCTACCGTTTATTTTTCTCAAGGATGAGCTTGGGAACTGTTGCTGAGAATGACAAGAATTTGAAATTTATGTTGTGTAATCTTAACTGGATCCTCAAGCCTGTGGTGCTTTTACTAGTACATTAGATACCCTAGCTATATAAACTTTTCTCACATTACTCATAACCCCTAATTTCCTTCTTTCTTCCTTCCTACCTAGCAGACTGTATTCGTCTCTCTTAATTCAGAAGATCTTAACGAAGTGGTTTGTCATTTGTGTTCTATGGACCCTAGAATTTTAAGGATAGGGGAAAAACAGATAGGTGAACAAACAGAGTTGGCAGAGTTCTAGGTTTCCAGTCTCCCTTCAGCTAGGACACTTTTACTTTTATCTTTGTATGTATTGGATTTCTGTATAATTCTTACTTTGGAATCTTCAGTAACCCCCTGTCACTTATCCCTCTCCGCCAAGAGCACGAGTTACTTTCTTTCAACCTAAAAGAAAAAAACTAATATTTACCATGAAAACTGTATTAAATGCTTTACATTTGTTTAACTCATTCAGTTCTCAGAGTTACATGGGAGAAATGAGGATCAGAGACATTACTTAAGCCACATAGTTATGACACCTTGATTCCTCAGCCCATGTTTTTTTTATTCTACTATATCATGGTGTGCCTACCCAGAAATATGCCCATATATCTCTTATGATGATAATATTTTTATAGCTCTCCTTTTCATGAATAAACCCAAAAGAAGAGTATAGTTGTTGACTCTTACGTAACATTCACTATTGTGAACTCTTTATCCTGAAGTGGGTAAGTTTTGTTTGCCACACTTGTCCTGAGCATTCTGACCGATGCTGTTTTCTCTGGAGTGTTTTCTATCAGCGTCTACCATGTCACCTATCAGAATGCCCACCCATCTTTGTTATTTTAACTGGTATCAATGTATCTTACATTTCCTCATTACATTCTAAGACTCGTGAGGGGAGAAGCTGTCCCTGCAGCTTCTTTTATAGTGATATAAATATTATAGAACTAGGGATTTATTGGTGATCATTAAGAGAGAAAATTAAGATTACTTTAAGGCATCTTCACTGTTAAGTTGTAAAACTGTAAAATTGATAGGAATAGGACAACTTTAGGGAAGGAAAAAATGACTTCCAGTTTTTTATGAGTTAATAATGTAGAAATAACACTGGAATTATCCAAAAGAAATGTGCTATAGTAAAGTCATCCAGGTGAAAGCTCGGAGTTGGTGATATGTTTTGAGGGTAACATGTAGGCAGTAATTAAAACCATGAAAAAAAGAATTTTTCAAGAGCATGAGTCGAAAGAGCAGAGTACTGAGGACAGAACTTGAAATGTAGAGGGAAAAGAAGAGCCAGGAAAAGAAAGGAGCGATCATTGTTACATGGCAGGAGAAAAACAGGCAGCTGAAGGTCATGGAAGCTAAAGGAGGGGAGAAGGGACCCACTAACACTGAGCACCACTGAGGAAAAAGAAAATAAGGACTGAGGGGCACCTGGGTGGCTCAGTTGGTTAAGCAACTGCCTTCGGCTCAGGTCATGATCCTGGAGTCCCGGGATCGAGTCCCGCATCGGGCTCCCTGCTCAGCGAGGAGCCTGCTTCTCCCTCTGACCCTCCCCCCTCTCATGTACTCTCTCTCATTCTCGCTCTCTCAAATAAATAAATAAATCTTTAAAAAGAAAATAAGGACTGAGAAGAGTTTGTTACGTTTGACTAGTGAGACGTTGTTACTGATCTTTAATAGTATCAGTAGTAGGATGGTGGTTTGGAAGCTAGAAAATAGATACTGAGGAGCCCAGCAGAGAAGACTTCATTATGTGAATAAAGTCCCAGAGGCGGAACTGAAAGGAAATATTGGGATGATAGTTTAATCACTAATATGGTGAAGTTTAGGGAAATGAGGTCATTCATGTTAGATGAACTTTATGCTTTTTTAAAGTAGAAAGTGGATAATAGGTGAGTAGTGGGTAAAGGGGGCCATGGAATGAGGAGCTAGGAAGAGGACAATAAAGGAATGTTCTTGAATGTTGAAAAAGCAAGGTTAAAGTATACTATGTGACTTAACACTTAAAAACACTTGGGCTTTCTATTCTTTGCTGGTGCTTATGACATAAGCAACAGAGTAAAAGAAACTTGTAGTGGTTATTACAGGGTTAGTAGGGGTTTGCTCAGTAAAAGGTAATTTGGGTGATAGTTTATTGTGATAGTTGGGAGAAAGAAAGGAATCAAATATGTATGGTCAAGACTGAATACTTTGAATTTGGTTAATAAAGGTGTTGGGGAGCTAGATTTGGTGGAGGTAGTAAAGGGGTAGGAGATAATGGCTAGTAAATAGCTGTGGTTGGGAAAGTGGTTCTTGAGAAGAGGATATAGCCCTTCTGGTATGTGACTGTAATGTTGATGGAAGTGAATATTCATGAAAGATAAGAGGGCTTCCAGCTTGAGGAATAATCATATGGATGTTGATGTGGCCAAGGATGATGTTGGGGTCAAGACAGAGAGGAAACAAATAGGAGTAGCTCAAATGCGTGAGTCATGGGAATTATAGAAAACTGGAGAAAAGACTTGAGAGTATTTGATCAATTTTCCTCCAGTACAGTTCAGCAAATGGAAATCTGGTGTCCACTGTGTTTATGAGCTTGGTTAGAGAGTAAAGAACAAGGTAGCATCTTTTTTGATGACTGAGCAGGTGTAATAATTCTCTCCCTCAGCCTAAGCAGCTCTGTGTTAATCTTTCATGTATATTAAGCTTCTGCATATGCTTTCATTTGAAAATGGGTTCAAGGTGAAAGAAAAGTTACACAGGTATAGTGGACAGATGAAACAGCAAAAGGTGTACTTGCCATTAAACAGTTACAGTCCGGGTACGTTTGGTCTAGCTTTGTTACACAATACCTTGTATGTAGTTCTTTATTGCCAGAGCCTAAATAAGCCCAAGGCATAAAATGTTAGGACTTGAGTCTCAAACACTTGGTAATTACAATAGCAGTAGTAAAGATTTATTAAGTTTACATGCTAGTGACTCTGCTATGTACTTTACATTCATTATCTCCTTTGATCTTCACAGTAACCCTTCAAGGCTGTTTTTTATCACCATTTTACAAATGGGCAAAGTGAGGCTCAGAGCCGAGGTGTCCAGGTCACCTAGTCAGGGAATAGGGATGCTGGGACTTGAAGTTGGGTATTTGTCTTCAAAGCCTGAGCTCTTTATGATTACTCCATGAGGCCTACTGAATGTTAATATCTAACATTTTCTAAATTTCTGAATATTCTTACACATCAAAGAGCAGTAACTTAAAAATTTAAAAATTGTGGCGCCTTTTAAAATTATATATAAAATAGGTAAAATCAGAGCTGCTCTTATTGAAGTAGTTACAGGGGACCTGGAGCTGTGCTCTTTGCCTCTTTCTGACTCCTCTTGCTCCAGAGGGTCTGGGAAATCTGCAGGTTCCTTTGAGCGTATTCTGAAAATGGTGGTTTAATTGTTTTATTAATGCTGAAAGCAAATCTAAGTCTATCTTCTTGTTGACTACTAATATTTTATGTATATTTGACTTTGATAATGTGGGAAAAAAATGATGGTAAATAACTCTTTTTCTTTTTTAAAACAGGGATTGCTTGGCATTTTGTACAGAACCAGTTTTTGCCAGTTTAGCCAATGTTTTAGGTAACTGGGAAAATCTACCTTCCCCTGTATTTCCAGACATTAAGGATTATAACCTTTATGATGTGGAAACTAAATATGGTTTGCTTCAGGTATGTATTTTTATTCATCACGTGAAAAGAGTTTTATCCTTCAAAATTGCTTTTGGCTATTTAAAACTTCTTAGCAATATCAACTGCTTTATGTAAACCTTTGGATCCTCTCAGTAATTTAAAAATTATTTCTATGTTCTACAGTTTTTCTACAGTTTATTGTTAGGTTTAAATTATATTTTAAATTTATGAAACATAACATCAACCAGTCAATAAGTACCCTTCTACAAAGGTTACCAATGTTATGTGTCATAACAGAATCTTTTCACCTTGCAAAACTGAAGCTGTATCCACTAAACAATAATTCTCCATACCCATCCCTACCACTCGCCAGCCCCTGGCAACCATTCTACTTTTATTCTCTATGATTTAACTACTTTAGGTGCCTCATGTAAGTGGAATCATATATGATTTTTCCTTTTGTGCTTTATTGCACTTAGTATGATGTTCTTGAGGTTTATCCATGTTGTAGCATGTGTCAGAATTTCCTTTCTTTTTAGAGCTGAATAATCCATTGTATGTATTTGCCACATTATGTTTATTCATTTGTCTGTGGACACTGGGGTTGCTTCCACATCTTGGCTGTTGTGAGTAATACTGCTCTGAACATGGGTGTAGAAGTTTCTCTTCAAGATTCTGCCTTTAGTTATTTTGGGGATGTACCCAGAAGTGGAATTTCTAGATCATATAGTAATTCTATTTTTTTATTTTTTGAGGAACTAGCGTACTTTTTTCCATATTGGCTATCCCATTTTATATTTCTACCAGTAATGCAGTGCAGAGTTCTAATTTCTTCATGTCCTCACCAACATTTATTATTTTCTAGTTTTTGATAGTGGCCATCCTAATCGGAGTGATGTGGTAGACCATTATGGTTTTGATTTGCATTTTTTTAGGAGTTAGTGAATTTAAGCATCTTTTCATGTACTTATTATCCATTTGTATATCTTCTTTGGAGAAATATCTATGCAAGTCCTTTGCCCATTTTTTAATTAGGTTGTTTGTTTTGTTGTTGTTGAATTGTAGGTGTTCATTATATATTCCAGATATTAATCTCAGTATATAATCAGATATATGATTGGCAAATATTTTTTCCTTTTCTGTGGGTTGCCTTTTCACTCTGTTGATTTTGTCTTTTGATGCGTAGAAGTTTTTATTTCGATATATCCAATTTATTTTTTCTTTTGTTGCCTGTGCATTTGGTGTCATATCTAAAAAGACTTTGCCAAATCCAGTGTCATGAAGATTTCCTCTATGTTTTCTCCTAAGAGTTACATAGTTTTAGTCTTATGTTTAGGCCTTTGATTTGAGTTGATTTTTGCATATGGTTTAAGATAAGGGTCTAACCTCATTGTTTTGCCTGTGGATATCCAATTTTTTCAGTACCCTTTGTTGAAACTTCTGTCCTTTCCCCATTGAATGGTCTTGGTACCTTTGTAAAAATCATTTGACTTTTCTAGACTTGAAAAACTTTGTATATTTTATGAATTGTATTTGAGGAATAAAAGCATTTTTTAAAATGCAAATCTTACATGAATTTCATAGGTTCCAATGTGTTAGAACTGGAGAACGTTCATTTGAGAAATATTAAGCCCCTAAATGCTTATTATACTAGTCGCTGAGGATAAATATTCAGGCAGTTAGAAGTAGCAGATTGCATCTCAAGGAGTGGTGAAAAATGAAACTGGAAAGATAGAGAAAGAACACTGGAGGATTTTTTAAGTAGAGTAAATGACCTGGTCTGGTGTGCATTTTAGAAGTGTCATTCTAGAAGAGTGGAACTTGGGCATAGGGAAAATGTATGAGAAATAATTACTACTATGTAGGGTTATTTTCACTGCGTAAATTTTAAGTACTTAGCGTAGAGCCTGCATGTAAAAAAATAGTTAATGATATTTAAAAAGTCTTGCTCAAAAATCACAGGAAGTACTAGAGGGATGAATGAAGTTATGTGGTTAGAATAGGCCCTTTTGACTGACTATGGGGATGGGATTGGGAGTGGTGTGGAATCTAATATCATTTCCCACATTTATTAAGAGGTTAATATACCATCGTTTGAAGTAATTTACCAGCTGGGACCTAGATAGGTTCAGTGACTTGCTCAAAGTTGCGAGGCTAGTAATTAGTGAAGTTGGGACAGGAATCCAGATATTTTCTAAAATAGTACTCTTTACATTCTTTACTGTTGAGTTAACTTGATGTTGAAACTGTAAGGGATTTTTTTTTTAAGAGAATTCATTCTCATATCCATTCATTAAGTGTATATTTATTGGATGGCTATATTTCTGGCACAGTTCTGGGTGCTGAAGATATGCCAGGGGAAAAAACGGACACAAATTCCTGCCTTTTAGAATTTATATTCTCATGGGGGAAGAAGGACAATAAAATAAGTAAATATATAGTGCATTAGATTATGATAAATGCATGTGGAGAAAATAAGGGAAGGGGGAAGAGAGAATAGTTTGGATGGGGAGGAAAAGGTTGCACTTTTGAATGGGGGTAGTCAGGAAATCTGTAACTGAAAATTGGACATTTGAGTAAATATCTGAAAAAAAGCAAAGAAGCGAACCATATAGATACCTAGGGAAAGAATGGTCTAGGCAGAAAGAACAGAAGGTTCAAAGTCCCTGAAACAGAATCATGCATGACTTGTTCAAGGAATAATGAAATACCTGGAGTGGTGGAAAGAGTTAATAAGATGAGCAGTAGGAGACAAGGTCAGGGAGTTAACGGTGGCTAAGTCCTCTTATTCCCTAAAAGCCAGAAAAATACTTTGAAGTTTACTCTGAGAGGAAGGAAAGGCCTTTGGAAGGCTTTGAGCAGGAAAGTGACATGATCTGGTAGCTGCTTATTGAGAATTAAATTATGTAGAAGGGTGTGAGCAGAAACGAGGTGAAGTAGGTGGCTGCTCTAGTAGTATAGGCCAGAGATGATGATGGTCCAGGGTCGGGAAGGTGGTAAGACAGGATGAAAATATATTTTGATGGTGAAGGTATTGGAATTTGTAGATGGTTTCTTATATAGGAAAAATAGAGTAGTGCAGGATAATTCAAAGGTTTTTGAAAAATGGAAAAGTGAAGTGGCCGTTAATGGATATGGGGAAAAGACCATAGGAGGAGAGAACTGAATTGTAGGGGAAGCTCAGTTTTTGATTCTTCTAAGAATGAGATGCTTATAAAACATTCAAGGGGAGAGAAGTCAAGAAGGCAGTTGGATAATCAAGTCTGGACTTTAGAATAGAAGCCCAGCCTGGAGATAATTTGGGAGCAGTCAACCTCTGGATGATATTGAAAGTTGTGAGAACACTGAGAAAGAGTAGATGGAAACTTCAGCTGTCCAAACACTGAGGTTGGGGTACTGAGGAGGAACCAGCAGAATAAATAGACTGAAAAGCAATGACCAGTGGAGTTGGGGGAAAGCCTGGGAGAGTGGTGTCCTGGAAGTCAGGGAGTGTTAGTTTGCCAAAATCGACTCCTGGAAACAGAAATCAGTCTTCGTTTTTGGTTAACAAATTCCATGGTAGTCTCAGGTACACATGTCAAAATTACCAAATACTAATCCAATTTGAGAATGAGTGAACATCAATTAATATATGAAAACTGAGCAAAATACGATTCAGAAAAACTGAATTTCAATATGAAGTGTAAATATATTAAAATATTAAGAATTAGAATCAAATTGACAAGGAGACCCTTGATATTTACTATCTGTAACTCCTTCACATTTCAAACACAGAAACAATAAATTTGGATGGAAAAGTTGTTTTAAATTATCTTTGACTTTGCTTATATGCATGTGGAAAGGACATTTAATAAAGAGTTGTATTCTGGTTTTATAACTGGATTTTTCCCACTAATGCTTAGATCATTGTGGCAACTGAGAATATCTACTCTTTTGCATTTATGATGAAATTTAATTATTCCCTGACATGTAAAAAAAATCTTTTATTGGGAGAAGCAGCAATTATGATTTTCAAGAGACATTTTATTATAATTGAAAGGAGTTTTATTTAATGTAAAAGTGTCTCCCCCCTCCCCCCATTTACAGGTTTCTGAAGGATTGTCATTTTTGCATAGCAGTGTGAAAATGGTCCATGGAAATATTACACCTGAAAATATAATTTTGAATAAAAGTGGAGCCTGGAAAATAATGGGCTTTGATTTTTGTGTATCATCAACCAATCCTTCTGAACAAGAGGTAATGAAGGTTTTAGGTCTTGTATTTTTTTTTTTTTTTTTAAGATTTTAAGTAATCTCTACAGCCAACGTGGGGCTTGAACTCACAACCCTGAGATCAAGAGTTGTGTGCTCTATTGACTGAGCCAGCCAGGTGTCCCAGTCTTCTAATATTTTTAAAGCTGTGGAAATTTGTGATGCATCTGGAATGGACTAGAGAATTTGCAAGTCTGATAAATGTGTAGAAATAGGTTATGTGGTACAATGTATGTTTAAATGTACAGCTTTATAGAAAATTTTTAATGTTCATTTTACCTGAGAGTATTCTTCAGTTTGTTAATTCCACAGTAGTGTTACTTGAGTAAAGGATGCTAGAGTTAAACAAACTTAAGAACTATTGGGTTAAGTAGGCTTTTTTCCTCAGGCTATCAAATACACTACAAACATTGTGAATCTCTAGCAGTGTTTTCCCAACATCGGACCACAGAATCTTTTTAGGGAGCATGATAACAACAGTAGCAGTGATAATAAGAGCTAACATTTATTGAAGTACTTTTCTAACAAAGCACTTTGTAATGTATTTACTTATTTAATCCTCACCACAATCTGTGAGATATGGGAATAATACAGATGGGTAAGTTAGGCTCATAGAATAAAATAATGTACCTAAGTTTAGGCAGGTGGTTAAGTGGTAGAGGTAGGATTTGAACCTGTTCTCTTTGGTTCCAAAGTACCTGTTACATAGTGATTATGATATCTGCCTATTTATACTTAGGAAAATACTGCAATATTTCAAGTTTTTAATATACATATATGTATATATATATGTAGCTGTTAAAGGCACCATGATTTGACCTAAGATATATTTGTAATTTAAGTAAATACATTTAAGGGAAGCAGAAAGAATTAGTATTGGTTGAGTATATACTATGGGTCAGACACTGTGTTAGGTCCATTTTTTCCCATACATTTGTTTAATCTTACAACAGCCTTTTGAGCTTATTAACTAAATCACACAGCTAGTTAGTGAAAGAACAAGGTTTCAAATAATCTGAGTCCATACAATTTGAAACCTATGTATCATAGAACATAGGCTATACCTTTTCATATTCATACTGCATCTTACAGTGATAATTTGTCTTCTGGGAGAAAGCTTTGATAATCTGAAGGTTGCAAGGATTCTTTTTTTTTTTTTTTAATATTTTATTTATTTATTTTGAGAGAGAGTGAGTGAGCAGGGGGCCAAGGGCAGAGGCAGAGGGAGAGAATCACGGAGCCCATCATGGGGCTTGATCTCAGGACGCTGAGATCACGACCTGAGCCGAAATCAGGAGTCAGGCGCTCAACTGACTGAGCCACCCAGGCACCCAGTTTGCAGGAGTTCTTATTCATATCTCTCAGTTTGTTTAGTGCCCTTTCCAGATTTGAGAATTTGGGAATTTCAGGATTGAAGGTGGTAGTGATATTTTTACTTGCATGACTGAGTATGATTTAAAACTAGGTTGCTACTGCTTGATAGTGTTTTTTGCTTTAATTTGAAATATTTAATCTATATAATCTCTTTTCTGTCTTCTTATAGCCTAAGTTTCCTTGTAAAGAATGGGACCCAAATTTACCATCATTGTGTCTTCCTAATCCTGAATATTTGGCTCCTGAATACATACTTTCTGTGAGCTGTGAAACAGCCAGTGATATGTACTCACTAGGAACTGTCATGTATGCTGTATTTAATAAAGGGAAACCCATATTTGAAGTTAACAAGCAAGATATTTATAAGAGTTTTAGTAGGCAGTTGGATCAGGTAATTTGCCTTATATATAAATAATTGCTTACATTAAAAGTATTAAATGTTTCTTTGGTTTAAAAAATATGTTCAGAAAATTCTCTAAAATGAGATGATGTCTCATATTTTAAGTTTGCATAAAATCAACTGAACAAAAGTAATTCTGTAAATAATGAGGATTAAAGTTTGTTACCACAGCTTTAATCGTGGCATTTATTTACTAGAGTGAATACTGAAATCTGATCTAAAATGCTGGGCATTTGTTTCAGTAATAGAAATAATTTCAGGTATTGAAGATAAGTGTTTTAATTATATTGCCACAGTAGAATTAGCAGTTTGTTCACTCTAACATATATTTTTGAGTAAATTTCAAAAAGGTTTTTTAAATAGACTATTGACTACAAATGCATTGTCTTTTTGAATATTTTATATTTATATTTAATATTGTCACTTTTTTTAAATAGTTGAGTCGTTTAGGATCTAGTTCACTTTCAAATATACCTGAGGAAGTCCGTGAACATGTAAAACTATTGTTAAATGTCACTCCAACTGTAAGACCAGATGCAGATCAAATGACAAAGGTGAGTACACATGAATTCCTGTCTTAGGTGGAGGGACAATGAGTTAAAGTAGGTTAAGTGCTTCTAAAGCAAGATTTAGTCAGATAGAGTCCCCAAATAGCATCTCTATCTTTGAATGTGTTAAATATTCAACTTCTTTTAATCTTAAACAGTTAAATAATTTATGTATATAATTGCTCTGATATAAAATTAAGATTTCAAATAATCAGAGTCTTAACAGTCATGTAGGTATAGAAATTCTGGACACAAGAATTCATGGCCCTCTAATTTACTCGTGTAAGTTTGCATTTTAATAGATAAATGGTACTTATTATGCCTTCAAGATATTTTACTTAATTTTTCAATATTTACTAGTTAGGTAAAGAAAATGTTACTGCCCAGCCAACTTACAGGTAGTCACTGAAAATTTGAACTTGCAAAGAAATTTGGTTATTACTTCCTTACTCTGATTTTTATGATTAGAATTATTAAGTGATCTTTAGCATTTTGCTAAATGTTTCTGAATATTTTTTCACTGTATTATGGCAGTTTCAGGTATGAGAAGTATTTTAATATCTATCAAAATAATTTTATTTTCCTGTTTTTAGATTCCCTTCTTTGATGATGTTGGTGCAGTAACGCTGCAGTATTTTGATACCTTATTCCAAAGAGATAATCTTCAGAAATCACAATTTTTCAAAGGATTACCAAAAGTTCTTCCAAAACTGCCCAAGGTTTGTTGTTGATCAGTTTTTTGTTATAGTCAGGATTTTTATTTACTATAATAACTCTTCCAGAGAAATAAATGTAACTTTTGTCTTAGGTGCATAAATGACTATAGAAGGCTGCATACTGAAGCTAAAAGTTTAGTGAACCTTTTTTGCAGGGTCCAAAAATAATTTAATAAATTAGATAGGTAAGAAAATTAGAAGAATATTACCTATGCAAAGGTAGCACCGGGACATTAAATGTCAGAAGAGAAGTCCATAAGCTGTCATTGTGGAGATCATTGCCTTACCAGCAGTTAAAGGGGTACATCTATATTGATACTAGCCTCTCCAATTCCTTTAACTCCCCTCTCTGGCTTATTAAATCATGAGTGTAATATAGTCTAAAAAATGTTGGTGAATGCCTTGGAAGTCAGTGGTTGAAAACTGGTGATTCTTGGTTACAAAAATATCTCCAGTGTTTAATCTGTCAGATACTCATTGATTATGCACTCTTTGTCTAGCCCTTTACTTGGATGCTGTGGAGATAAAAAAGGAAACAAAATACTGTTCTTGCTCTCAAGACTCTTAGAGTATGTGTAGATAGAGTTAACATGCATGAAATAACAATTTACAATACAGAACAGTGTTTAAGTTGTGTGGTATGACTCATAAGTAATGAAGAAGAGAAACATATTAATGAAGACTAATGAGGCAATGTTTCCTAAAGGTATGGTGACCATATGTCCCCCTTTATCTCTAACATTCCCAAGTTATTTCTTTTGTCCTGACATAGTTAGCAGGAGCACCTCATTTTACTCTCAACAATGTCCCAGTTTCAACCATAAATTATATGGTCATCTTCCCCAAAGAAAATTGGAGATTTAAGACTGTAACTTCAATATTAATACTAAAGATCTGAAATTAAATTTAGTTTTATGAAAACATTTTTGCCTTTCAGCGTGTCATTGTGCAGAGAATTTTGCCTTGTTTGACTTCAGAATTTGTAAACCCTGATATGGTACCTTTTGTTTTGCCCAATGTTCTACTGATTGCTGAAGAATGCACCAAAGAAGAATATGTCAAATTAATTCTACCTGAACTTGGCCCTGTCTTTAAACAGCAGGAGCCAATCCAGGTATGTGTATAGATACTCTTTCCTATTTATCTGCTGTTATTTAATGATGTTAGTCAATGATGACTATCATTGAAAACGAAAGGAATGGATATGCGACTTTTTAAAAATTGAGGTAAGTTTAAGATAATTTTTTTTCTGTTAGAAGCTATTTTGCATATGTTTGAAGTGAACCATTCCTAAAATTATAATTAAGCTTTGCAAGTAAATGTCTGTAGCTCTCCATAACTTACCATCTCAGAAAATAAATTGTAATGAGATTTGGCATGTGTTATACTGTGTATTCTTATTGGCCTTATTAAAAGTTATAGGTTTGGGAAAAATATTTCTTTTTCTCCTGCACCTTTAAGTATTTGCTTTTTGTTTGTTTTGTTATTTAGGGTCTTTAATTTGTAGAAAGTTTATGCCGGTTGTTTCTCTTTATTTTACTGGTAATAAATAGTTTCAACAGAAGAGAGGAAATGGTTACAGCATCACAGAAGTAATATATGTGTGTATTGTAATTGAAAATGTAATTAGTTTCTGATGTAGACTCTATTATAATATTTACTTGTCAGATTCTAGGTAGTCTTGGATTTAAGAGCAATAGGGTTACACACCTGGGTTTGAATCTGATCTTCATCTTTACTAGAAGTATGACTTGGACAAGTCTTCACTGTCTTAAAGCCTCTGTTTGCTCATTTCTAAAACAAAAAGGGTAGTTGAGATTAAATGAAATTTCTAGGCACAGTAAATATTATTACATGTTTCTGCCACTATATGGCAGTAGCTTATTAGTAAACTGTCAACTACTTAACTTAATGGTTTTATGACAGGCTATTTGTGGTCCTTTCTTTGAAAGGAGGGGAACAAAAGGAAGACTGTGGTGATAAGGCAAGTGTTCCTATGGCTAAGAAAGGGTAGGTGAGGAAACTATAGGCTTTGAAACAGGGTTTCCTAAACATTTTCAAGATGTTAGGAGGCAAAATGGTGGAGCCACATGTTCACTAAGTATTCTGCATAAATAGAAGGGACAGTTTGTTCCTTATAATGTAGGTATGTGTGGCAGCTAGGTGAGAAAACAAATGATCTGGGAAAATTGAAAATGTTTCTTACTAAGGGGAACCCTCATATACTGTTGGTGGGAATGCAAGCTGGTGCAGCCACTCTGGAAAACAGTATGGAGGTCCCTCAAAAACTTGAAAATAGAACTACTCTACGACCCAGCAATTGCACTACTGGGTATTTACCCCAAAGATATAAATGTAGTAATCCGAAGGGGTACCTGCACCCCAGTATTTATAGCAGCAATGTCCACAATAGCCAAACTATGGAAAGAGCCCAGATGTCCATCGACAGATGAATGGATTACGATGTGGTGTGTGTGTGTATATATATATACACACACACATATACACACAGTGGAATACTATTCAGCCATCAAAAAGATTTGCAATGACGTGGATGGAACTGGAGGGTATAATGCTAAGTGAAATAAGTAATTCAGAGAAAGACAATTATCATATGGTTTCACTCATATGTGGAATTTAAGAAACATAACAAAAGATCATAGGGGAATGGAGTCCCTTTCATTTCTGTACATTTTCTTCTAAAACTTAGAAGCCAAGTGAATTCACTGCTTTGGAATATCTGACTTTGCTGTTCTCAGGCTTTTTTTTTTTTTTCTTTCTCTCCAATTCAGTCGATTTCAGATAGTGGTAGTTATGGGTGAGTGATGCATTACTGAAGATGTGTGAGAGTTAGGAAATTAGTCTTCATTTAAATATTTAAACTGAGAACAGATATTAAATATTGTGCTTCTGGAAATGTAAGAAACTTGATTTGTATGTTTTTGTCTTCCATGCCTTCAGGCTAGCAACATGGTGAGTGTCAAAATATAGAACTTACTCTTATGAAGATACTTTAAATTTTGTCATATGTGAAATCTTACAAAGATTCTAGACTTTAATGCATTGTTCCCCCCTTTCTTACACAGATTTTGTTAATTTTCTTGCAAAAAATGGATTTGCTACTAACCAAAACTCCTCCTGATGAGATAAAGAACAGTGTCCTACCAATGGTTTACAGAGCACTAGAGGCTCCTTCCATTCAGATCCAGGTATAATATTTGATTTATTTTTCTTTAATAATGTCTTTGATTTATTTTTATTTTTAAAGCAAAAGAAGTACATTTTGGGTTTGAGTTATAAAATCTTTTCTATAAAAACTCAATAGTGATATATATTAATCCATTGAATTGGTTTGTATACTATTACTAAAATGTATCTAATCCCAACTAACTTAAAGAATCAATTGACAAATACCTGTATTGATGAAGTAAAATTACTCATTACTTTTATTTATGAAAAATGTTCTATCCTGGAAGATTTGATTTATGGTATAGTAGTTAGGATCAGTATATCTTCTTCCTGAATGAGTAACTAACATAGGAATGAAAATGTCAAAGATACATGTGCCTTTTTCTTATGAAAACATTAAGTAGGTACTTCCATACTCATAATTTTCTTTCATGCTTGATAACTCAATCTTCTAAGTGTTCCTTCTATACTGAAGTTAATTTGTATAGCAAATAGATAGAAAGCCAGACAGTAATTTAGTGTGACCATTCCTAATGCATTTATAGTCATGCTTGTGTGTCACGAAGGTGATGTTAAAACATCGTGTATTTTGCCAAACTTTCAGTTCTTTAGTTTTGCTATTAAAAGTTTGGTTCTATAGGGCTGTCTGTCTAGAAAAAAATTTTGGATCACTGTTAAAAGTGTAATTGATTTTTTACTTTGGAAAATAAGTACTTATGTTAAGATCATCTCACTGCTTAATGGTTTTATATTTAAAGTTTCTTTGCCAGTATAGAAATTCTAGTAAAGAAAAACAGAATTTTAATTTTTTAAAAAGATTTTATTTATTTATTTGGCAGAGAGAGAGAGCACAAGCAGGGGGAGTGGCAGGCAGAGGGAAAAGGAGGCTGGCTCCCCACTGAACAAGGAGCCCGGTGCGGAACTCAATCCCAGGACCCTGGGATCATGACCTGAGCCAAAGGCAGAACGCTTAACCGACTGAGCCACCCAGGCATCCCTAGAATTTTAATTTTAAAAGTTATTGACCAAAACCTTCTTTTTCCTAATGTGAACCTAATATTGGGGGCGCCTGGCTGGCTCAGTCAGTAGAGCATGTGACTCTTGATCGCAGGGTTGTGAGTCTGAGCCCCACGTTGGGTGTAGAGATTAGTTAAAAATAAGTGATGTGAACCTAATACCACATATATAAGCTCACTTTTTTGGCTCATTTTAGTCTTTTTCCTAAGGGGGTTCATTTAGCTAATAAGTATCAACCAATAAGTATTTATTGAAATAGTTAATATTTAATCCAGATTGACCTGTGCAACTTTGCTGAATTTTACAAACCAACATTTCTTGTATCATTCAACATAAGTCATTAGTCACCAGTCCAATTAATTAGTATCAGCATTGCTTGGTAGAGTCTGATAAAGTTAAAAGACTATCTAAGCTTTGGGAGAGTACTAGAACAAGAGCAAGAAACAAAAATCTTTTCATGTTTCATGCAAGTAGAAGGCTGGAAGGTAACTTCTGAAATTCATTTTGGAGTGGTATTTTTAAAGTGAAGTTTGATTAGAAATATTTAAGAGGCTAAAGAGTTTAGAAGAATACTTGGAAAAGTAGATCGTTTATTAAAGTTAGGATGCTTAGAGGCATGAATAGAAATATGTTTGTGAACCAATTTAAAAAATTTTTACCTTTAAAATTAAACATAGAAGCTATGTTTATTCTCCCATCTCCATGACCAGTTATAAAGTATAAACTAAGAGGTAGAAGTTCCTGAGAATGAGCTAATAACAAGTTTGTTTCAGTGTCCTGTTCTTAGGTTCTTAATTGTATTTCCTCTTCAGGAAAGAGCTCTTCATCCCCTCCTTTAGCTATATGATTTAGACATAATTTAACCTACTCTGTAACCTGCTGCTAGGTTATACAGCACAATGCATGTACCTGCTCACTCTCTTGAATTAAATGCTGATCTTCCTATGGAGGCACCCTCTGGTAATAGGAGCAGTGTCTCACGAAGTGCTCACCCTTGCCTATTCTCTCCCATCTGTGGAAAATGGCCCCTTGAATGTAGCGTGTACTTCTTATGCCCGAGTTATGTCACCCACTTATTTTTTATAGTTCTGAATGGAAATAAACATATAATTCATATCTGCCTTTTGGAAATCTGGGAATAAAGCAAATAAAATAGGTGGCCATTATTTTGATAACAGATTCTTAGTGGTTAATTCATTTCTATCTGCTAACTACAAATTAATGTCTTTAAGTATACCAAATATTGTTTAACTCTTTCCCTGGTATATATTTATGCCTCCATTTTCTTCAATAATCCCTTCTATGCTTTGCTACAAGGATCATTCTGCCCTTATAAGGTATCTGAGATATATGTTCTTCAGCCAGTTAGTTCTCAAGCCATTTCTTGTTCTTTTCCTTAACTCATTTAGGTCCCTTTTCCTTAGTCATCTCCCCTTTTCCTCTGTTAGCCTCATTCAGAGTCCCAGTTACAGTCATTTACATTATGGCCAGCATTAGTTGTGTTTTAAACAGTGTTTTAAATAACTTTTTCCTGTTTCTTTCTTTTTTTTTTTTTTTTAAGATTATTTATTTATTTATTTGAGAGAGACACAGCGAGAGAGGGAACACAAGCAGGGGGAGTGGGAGAGGGAGAAGCAGACCTCCCGCCGAGCAGGGAGCCCAATGTGGGGCTCGATCCCAGGACGCTGGGACCATGACCTGAGCCGAAGGCAGACGCTTAACGACTGAGCCACCCAGGCGCCCCCCTCTTTTTCCTGTTTCTATGAGTTATACTTGCTTAAGTTTCAGAATTTGGAAGTACTTAAAAATATAAAGAAAATTAAAATCCTTTCTCAGAGATGCCCAGAATTAACATTTCCAGATCTATCCTTATGTCTTTTTCCCTAAGCCTATATAGACAGACACATGTACCTACATATTTTAAAAATTGGGATTATATAATAGTGTCTTACTGCATTTTCTCCCCGGTATTATTAAACAATCTTTTAAAATATATTAAGGAAAATGCTTGTATTATATTCTGTCATAAGGATATATGTAACAGCTAAGAAATCCCTTATTTAAGACGAATAGTTTTATGTCACTTTGTACTTGATTTTCCCTCATTGTTAAAGATAGCAAAACTTAGGTGTTCCCATTCTTAAATAATAATGATGAATTGTGTTGTCAGGGAAAGAAATTAGGTATGAGACCAAGGAATGTTGTTTCCATATGCTAGGTTATATGACCTTGCATGATTTTGAGGAAGGTCTTTTGGGTCTGTTTCCTCATGTGTAAAATTGAAAACTAGTGATAAGTATTCTTCTTTCAAATAGTTGTTGAAATGAGCAAATGATACAACGTACATAAAAGTTTATTTCAAGCTGTGTGACAAATTAGCCATGCAAATGCAAAATGTTTTTTAATATGTGGGAGAAAAGGTGAAGAGAATCTTTCCCTAAGAGTGAATCAGTGTATTTTCTTAATAGGAACTCTGTTTAAACATCATTCCAACCTTTGCAAATCTTATAGACTACCCATCCATGAAAAATGCTTTGATACCAAGAATTAAAAATGCATGTCTACAAACGTCTTCCCTTGCTGTAAGTAATTGCATATTAATTTTTGCTTTTCTTTAACTTCTCATTGTTTTAAATTATTTCCTTATTGTTAACCCTTTTATAGTTTGTTCATATATTTCATCTTGACTACAGGTAACCTGTGTATAGTGCTATAAAAGTGATCAATAGCTGTAGTTTTCCCTGATACATACTTTTGCAGTATTACTTACTCCCATCCCCTAACTTTGAGTGCTTCAATAGAAAATTGGAGTAATTTTTCTTTCTTAATACTTTCCTGCTTTAATTCACAATTTATTTTGTTGTAGTTTTAAAATTATCATGAGAGTTTAACTTGGTGTATAAGCCTAAAAACTTTTTGAACAGCTTCCTTTTATAAACTGCCTTTACTATTAGTCATCTATATTTTTGTATCTACCACTTACTTGCCTACTTTCAAAAAAAAATAAGGGTACAGTAAAATAATACATTAATAAGAACACAAGTGGGAGGAAATAGTTGTACTCAAAAATCTAGGCCAAAGACAGCTGATTCCTTTGAATACAGAATTTTAACACTTACAGTTGGTAGTCAAGGAACTAGTAAATAGCAGTAAATATCAGTTCTCATTATCTCATATTGGGAGAAATATATATTCCCAACCTTTTCTCCAACAGTAGATCATAAGAATTTATTCCACAGATAATTCTTTATAGAAGTGACATCGAATAATCTCTTCAAACAGCAGCTTTAGAAAAGAGGAAAAAATGTCCTTCATTCATCTGATCAGTTCTTTATATTGATGTTTGATAATGGTCATGTTATTAAGTTTGCATTTTGTAAATATAGTTCTTTGGAGAACTCTTCCATCTTTATTAGGTGAAATGTAAACTTAAATAAATATAAGCATTTGTAGCTTAAGCTTTTGCTTAAGGCAAAAGCAATTTAAATGACATGATTTTACCTTATAGTGATCCAATCCATTTTAGTTCATGTTTTTTGTTTTTTTTTTTTTGGTATAAAGGCTCTGAGATGGAAAACAACACCAAAATAGGAAAAAATATCATTGTTTACCAAAATGAACAAGTATGAAATGAAGTCAAGAAACCCGAGTTCGTATTCTGACTCTACTACTAACTGTCCTGTGCCACTGGGCAAGTTAATGTACCCCTCAGAGTCTTTGCATAAATATTAAAAAGATTTGAAATCCAGTTCTTTTCTTTGAAATTTTCTAAATTTTATGATTGAATTTTCAAAATAGATGGTAGTATACAGCTAAAAATTTCATTTTCAGAATGCCCTTTAAAAATCTGCAGGCGCCTGGCTGGCTTGGTCATAGAACATGTGACTCTTGATCTTGGAGTTGTAAGTTCAAGCCCCACTTTGGGTGTAGAGATTACTTAAAGTAAAATAAAAAATAAAATCTTCAGAAAAAAAGAAAATAAAAATCATATAAGTCACACTCTATTTATGGCAGCATAGATTTATTTTAGCATACATTTTGTCAAAGTACATGTTCTAGTTCAGTTCTAAGTATTTATGCAGAGTGAGGTGGGAAGCACTGATACTTAAATGATGTGTATTAATGCCTGGGGATGTTTATATCTCTTTTTAAGATGCCAACTGAGCCATTAAAGACATGATTACAAAGAGTTATAATGAATGTGTTTAGAACAGTAATTCTGGAATGGATTTGCATTTTATATACCACGTACAGTGTTCCTATCTTCAGAGGGGCAAATGTGAATTCTGAATTGCATTCATAGACATGGACCTCTAAGGTTAAAAAATTCTAACTGGGAAATTAGTGAAACATGAGTTGTGAGTTAGAATTGTATTTTAATACTGTTTCCTGAAAATAAAGAAAAATAAATTCTACATAGAGGTAGGTAAAATGCTCCAAGAGTTCTATTTCTTCATGACTTACATGACTAGTATTTTATATTAAAAATAAAAAAATTAAACTAGTATTTCTAGCATCTCTTGACACACATACACACACTTATAAAAAATGTAGCAATTCCTTTTATAGCACTGATTCTAAGAGCAAATTAATTAGATATCTTTATGAATTTGTAATATCCCTTATGTTTGAATTTCAGAAAACAATTATACCTTATTTTTCAGAGAATTTTTTCCATCTTTCTTGTAGAAATATGATGCTTTTTTTAACCAACTAAATTATTTCTGCTTTGCTTAGTTTTTTTTTTTTTTGAAACTGCAGTTCTATTGATAGGATCCTGACTCAAAGTATTCTTTCTTAAAAAATTGAAATATAATTAATGTACGGTGTTATATTAGTTTCAGATGTATAATATAATAATTGAACAATTCTATACCTTCCTCAGTGCTCATCACGATAAGTATACTCTTAATCCCCTTTATTTCACCCAGCCCCCTACCCACCACCCCTTTGGCAACCACCGGTTTTTTGTATTTAACAGTGTGCTGTATTTTTTTGCTTTGCCTTTTTTCTGAATGTATGCTACCTTAACATATTCAAGCTAAAAAAAATAGGGTGTGAAATATTTATCAAAATTGTCAAGCGAATATAGATAAAATTTTGATAAAAGCTCTCCTAAGTATCAGGTTTTAGTATCTGTGTTAAAGATATGTTTAGAAATAGGAAACTTTTTGTAGGGTAAAATATAGATAGTTTTTACATGTTGTTGAAATATTTAATTTAAGAATGAATTAAGCCTGGGTAAGAGAAAAGTATTGGAAGCCTAGTAAAATCCTCTCACTTGATAGGAGAATGTAGTCCCTTTTATAATTCAGATGTCCCCAAAGAAATATTGTTAGTAAACATACATAGAAAAGCTTCTCAAATCTTAATCACTTCATTTAGAAGGATACAAAATTGAAGTCATTCCTTACCTTTAGCTAACTAGTGTCCTGGTAAAGCAATCATGAATTCTTTCTGAAAGAAGTCCAGGGGAATTAGTAAATACGTGGATTTCCTATATTATTAAGGGATGAGAGCTTTTATTTTATTTATTTATTTATTTATTTTTTTAAGATTTTATTTGCGAGAGAGAGAATGAGAGACAGAGAGCATGAGAGGGAGGAGGGTCAGAGGGAGAGGCAGACTCCCTGCTGAGCAGGGAGCCCGATGCGGGACTCGATCCTGGGACTCCAGGATCATGACCTGAGCCGAAGGCAGTCGCTTAACCAACTGAGCCACCCAGGCGCCCCAAGGGATGAGAGCTTTTAAACCTACTTTTATTCTTGAGATTTTAACATATCTATATGAAGATTAAATTTGTAGTTAAACATTTTGTTCTAGATTGCAAAAACTTTAAATGACTAATGCAATTTACCTCTTTTAATAGGTTCGTGTAAATTCATTAGTGTGCTTAGGAAAGATTTTGGAATACTTGGATAAGTGGTTTGTACTTGATGATATCCTGCCCTTCTTGCAACAGATTCCATCCAAGGAACCTGCAGTCCTCATGGGAATTTTAGGTAGCTGAAAACTTAATGTCATTTGATGCAGCTTTATTATTTTATAGTCATGCAAATGAATCTTCCAAATTATAAAACCTTTGTATCCTTTTTTCAAGTATATAGCATTCAGTAATTGAGGAATGGTGGTATAAATACCACGATAAAACTTTTCTTTGTGTTAATTTTAGCAAAAACTGTAGAGTCTTCCTTGACATTTACAAAAGAATTAGACATTTGGGAATCCTAGCTTCACAAATATCATGATCACATGTAGTTTTCTCTGTAAAATGATACCAAATAAGAGAGGCAAACAAAGCTACTTGAAATGCTGATACCAGTCGTAATAGTAATACTTGATGGTTATGTGGTACCCAGTTTGTAAAAGGGGCTATGCTGAGTATTTTTTCTGCATTATCTCATTTTGTCCTCTCCAAATTCCAATGACATAGGTACTGTTATTTCTGTTTTACAGTAAGGAAATTGAGGCCCAGAATTTAAGTAAGTTATCCAAGATAACACAACTGATAAGTGGTAGAGCTGGTTTTTAATTTATATATGTCCAAATCTTAACAAGTATGTTTCACTATTAAGTGATGTGCTTATAAAGCATATTAGCCTTACAGCACATTCTATTCTATCAGCATAATTATAAATTACTCTGTCAAGAAACTCTGAAATTGTTTATTATTAGTTAAAGCTTTGACAGTCCAGTCTGGAAATTCTGAGGTCTGCTATACTCATGGAAACAGACATAATTGTAGAATCACAACATTAACAAGTTTACTTTTTACTAATTTTAAAGTCTGTTAATTTTGAAGAAAAAGCTCTCAGTAAATATTTGTAAGAATGGTCAGCAAATAATTTACTGTGGACCTCTGTAGGCATGGGATGTGGTATGAAACTTCTGGGCTCAACAAAATTAGTCTTCTTGAGAAGGAGTTTGACATAGTGGAAAGAGCCCTAGCTCCAATCCTGGCTGTGTCAGTTCTTGGACTGACTTTGAAAAGTTGCTTCATCTAACAAATGAGGATGAAAATGCATCATTATGGGTATGAGAATTCAGTGAGAAAATGGGAAGGGAAAAGTAATGAGCATAGCAATTAAGTGCCTAGCGAATAAACATTTAGTAGGTGTTCAATAAAGTTACTCTTTGAGTATTTAAGTGAAGTATACATTAACAGCAAAATGATGGAATATGGTGTGTTCTAAGGCTATGGATTATATACAAAACACAACAAAAGCATTCAGAGAATGAGAAACAAATGTGCTCAGTTTACCAAATGAAGGCTTTGTGGAATAGGTGTAATGAGCAGGGTCTTGAAGTTTGAGTAAATAGGTGAGACTTTAGGGAAGGATTGTGTGGAGTTGAATTAAATTATTAAAGTTTCAAACATGTTAAGTCTGATTAAAGAAGTGAATAAAGGTGTAAGACCTATACTCACACACTTGTGAAATAGATGTCTCAAATTTGAGAAGTCTGAACTATATATTCAGATGTTTTCAGGATAGAGGGTCATTCTGTAACCTTGCTGCTGCATTGTGGTAAGGCTTTTAATGTTATGCTAACAGTAAATGTGCTCTTAAGCCAAAAGAATTCAGGATAAATATGTCATGGTATTTAAACTGGTGATAAAACTGAAATCATTCTGATCCATATGTAAGAACATCTTCATTCTAGGCGCTGACAAGGAAAAATTTGTAATTATATTAATTATCAAGAGATTTCACGTAGATATAGTAACGTCTATTTGTGGCATTGAACTATACAATTTGTCTCATTCTTTTCTATCAGGTATTTACAAATGTACTTTTACACATAAGAAGTTGGGAATCACCAAAGAGCAGTTGGCTGGAAAAGTATTGCCTCATCTGATTCCCCTGAGTATTGAAAATAATCTTAATCTCAATCAGGTAGGAACAGTTTTGTGTTTTATTCAGTTTATTCAGCTTACTGTCTTCTTGGCACTAAATATATAAATATATTACATTTAAGTGTTGCTAAAACAAGGAAAAATAGCGAAAGAGTTCAAAAAAGAAAGTTTGTGGATTCAAAGTAAGGAGTCTGTGAGTTGGAAGGATTATTGAAGGCCTCATTGGGAGATAGTAAATGACTAGAACATAGAAAGATATGTAGGATTTTGGGCTACTTCAAATTTGGGGCTGGGAAGTTGACATGAACAAAGAAAAAAATCAATGTAATGTGTCTGGGGTGTATATCTGTTATTTATTGCTACATAACAAATTACCATAAACTAGATGGTTATTTCATTGTTTCTGTGGATCAGCCAAGCCAGGGCATGGATTATCTGTTCAGAGTTTTCACAATGTTACAGTCAAAGGCTGGTGTCTCATCTGAAGTCTCAATTGGGGGAAAGAAGGATCTGCTTCTAAGCTACTTACATGGTTGTTGGCAGGATTCAGTTCCTTTTAGGTTGTTGGACTGAGGGCCTCAGTTCCTAGCTCTCTGTTAGCTGGATGACTGTCAGTTGTTTGCTTCATGGGCCTTCCAACATGGCAACTTGTTTCATCAAAGTGGGAAAGAGAATCTGCTAGACAGATGGAAGTTACAGCATCCTGTAGTGTAATCAAGGAAATGACATCCATTACCTTTGCTGAATTCTTTTGGTTACCAGCAAGTCACAGCTCCTGCCCACTCTCAAAGATAGGGAGTTACACAAAGGCCTGAGTAGCAGAATGAGGAGATAATTGGGAACCAGTTTAGAGTCTATCTGCCATAGGAAATGAATAATCCAGTTTGACTGAGAGATACTTATAAATACAGTAGGGGAGTAATGGGAGAGAGGTAAACTGAGACTAGTATAAGTAGACTTTAAATTGCTCTCTGATTTAGGTATTTGCTTTTTTTGTTGTTGTGTTTTTTTATTTTAATTCCAGTATAGTTAACATACAGTGTTATATTAGTTTCAGGTGTACTGGTTTAGGTATTTGAAATTTCAAGATGTGGTAAACATTTGATGAAAGAGGTAATGTATTCAAAGATTATTATATAATTATCTCTCTGCATAGCCCTTTCACTGTAGTTATCACAGGTGTCATGTGTCTGCCTTTCCCAGAAGGCTGGTTATTATATCTTATTCTTTATTATATCCACAGCACTTAGTGCAGTGCTAAAACCAAAAATATTTATTGAACTGAGAGAAAATTTGAGTTAGAGTAATGACAAGTCATATTATTCACTTTAGAACTGGTGTTTAATGGAGTAAAATGGAAAAAAGACTGGGATTGGTTGGCTACTGTTTACCAGGGAGTGTCAGAAATGGATAGGCAGGCAAGATTGGGAATTAAGTACTGAAAGTGAATTAGAGCAATTAAGGAAGCAGAAAGCTGGGAGTTAAGCAGGAAAGCTTTTGGCATTAGAGGAGAGTGCTGAGTGAATAGAGTTTTGGAGTTAGAGAGATTTATAAAATTAATCAGACCCAAATTTCATTTGAAGTGGTAGGGTAAGCCTCTGAAAGTTTGTGTCCCTAAATTTCAGTTTTTGGTTGATAGTTTTTCCTATCTTGGGAGGCAGGGTTGAAGTTACAATTGGAAAAAAGGGAAACAGTGAATATTGGGGAAAAATAGGATGATGATATAGCTAAGTCCAACTTTTGGTCATTTCTGTTCTTAGTTCTCAAATTTATGATTTAGGATGTTTTTAAATATTCCCAAATGCTTATAAATATATAGTTTCATTTGAAATGTGATGTTAGTTTTCTTCAGCTTTATGGTTTGATTTTTTAGGGGCCTATTTTCATCAATAGAAATACTTGGATTCATATTTTCTGGTATTTTACAATAGTTAACATGGGTGTGGTCTTCTTTCCTATTCACTTCATGGAGAGGGTTCCTAATTTAATATTCTGATTTAAAATAATCTAAGTATATTTTGCATTACGGAAAACGATAACTTGATTTAAGAAAGTACATTTTTTATTTTGCATTTGATTATAAAACAGGAAATACTAAGTAGCAATCAAAACATATCACAACTTGTGTTGGGTGAGGGTTCCAAAGACCACCTCCAGATTCAGTGATTCACTGAAGGAGTCACAGGCCTCAGCATATAGTTGTATTCATGGCTATGATTTTTTATGGCGAAAGGATATAAAGCAAAATCAGCAGAGGGAGAAGGCTTATAGGGCAAAGTCTGGAGGAAACCAGAGTCAGTACTCTCCCTGGTAATGAGTTGTGACAGTGTATGTGAAGTATTGTAGCTCCATCTGCCTGTCATGTACTCAAATTCCAGACTTCCAGAAGGAAAGCAGATGTTAGCATAAAACAGTCTTTGTACAGTTTAGTGAGCCACTATCATCAGTTAATGATGGGAACTCTCCTAAAATCTGAGTTCCTGGACACCGGCCAAGGGCCAACCTTGCAAGCAGGCCTTTTCAAAGATAGCAGTCTAGGCCCACTGTGTTAATTCTTCTGAACCACTGCATGCAACAGTATGGATGAATCTCACAAACATAATGTTGAGCAAGTGAAACCAGACACACAAGATCTGCCGAATGATTCCATTTATATAAAGTACAAAAACAGTCAAAACTATACTACCAGAAGTCAGACTAGTTTTTACTCATAGGATAAGGGGGTGGGAAGTAGCTAGAAGGGGGCACAAGGAAGCTTTTGGGGTGCTGCCAGTGTTCTTTTTCTACATCTGACTACAGGTTAAATTCAATTTGAAATTTTTGGTATGTGTGCTTGTATATGTATACTTTTCTGTTAGTATGTTATACTTCATTACAAAGTTAAAAAAACTAATAAAAAAAAAAACTAATCAGAGTGTCCATCCAGGTAAACTGCTAAGGAGTTAATGCCTTTTGTTACTCTCATGGTAAGACAACAGATGATTGAGCATGGTGAGAAGCAGGGTCAAGTAGAAATGAGCGCAGGCTCTGGAGACAGACTTAATGAATTCTCATGCTGCCATATGTTATTTAGTATCTCTTACCAAGTTGCTTTCTCTCTCCCTGAGCCATAGTTTCCTCATTTATGGAATAGAAATATTAATAAACCAACTATGAAGAGTTGTATAAGCACCCAGTACAAAAAGATAGAAGATTTGGGAGGGAAAGAAAGCAGTTTCTAGATTCCACCCGTAATATATGATATTGTTAAATAAATTGTTCACGATGATCTGAGATACCCTAAGAACCATCATTTAACCAAAGCTTAAACTACATTATGACATAGTATTAGATATACTTTAGGAACTATAATTATTTGGAAGTTAAACTATGTACATTTAATATTCCTACTAACTTTAAAAAAGATTTATTTTAGCCAAACATGTCATTTTATAACAATCTGAATAAACTGATTTTGTTATGCATTATTAAATGGGTTGTTTCCAGATATGTACAAATTCAGATGGTCAGTTTTGGACTATTCTAGGAAAATCAACATGTAATAACTGCTGGGGGTAAATTTATAAGACTCCTGAATAATAGCTGTTAGAGAACTCAGGCTATAAAACTAATTGAGACATATTTTCTGGAACTTAAAATCCTCATCAACTTTATCACCGTCATACAGAAATACTGTAAAAGCTTGCTCTGATATGCTGAGTTTAAATATACTATTCTTGTGGCATCACTACTATGAGTGGGTCATATTCCGGTAAAAATAGAGAATATTATGATTAACTTGTTGAATTATTTTATTAGATTACATTTGCTGCTAACCTGAAACATTATAACTGTATCAATTTCTTGTTGTACCAGTTCAATTCTTTCATTTCCGTCATAAAAGAAATGCTTAACAGATTGGAGTCTGAACATAAGACTAAATTGGAGCAACTTCATATAATGCAAGAACAGCAGAAGTAAGTAGGTTGCATATGAATTGTACATGGCCCTGGAGTGAGATTAAAGTTACTTCATGATTGCTTTTCTGGAATAAGTACTAGAAAAATTGATGGATTTCTGTTTTTTTTTTTTTAAGTTTATTATTTTAATTTCAGTATAGTTAACGTGTAGTGTTTTATTGATTTCAGGTGTACAATATAGTGATTCAACAATTCTATACATCATTGCTCAATGTTCATCATTAATCCCCTTCACCTATTTTTACCTATCCCTCCACCCATCTCCCCTCTGGTGACCGTCAGTTTGTTCAGCATAGTGAAAAATTGATAGATTTCAATTTGATCACATGTAAAACATTTAAAAATTTTCCAACATGTTAACTTGAACTGAATGAAAATAGAATGTTGTAGAAAATCTAATGTCATTTCTGAGTACAAAAGTATAGTATGATATAATCTAAGCATTTTCTATATATAAGGAAAATTCTATTTCTGAGACAGTCTCTTGTTAGCATTAGCTACTAGAGGTGTAAATTCAGGGTGATCGCTAAGAGCACCACTTAAAAATATTTTTCAAATCTATGAAACCCTGGTGTTTTGATTTCTCCCTTTTTCTTTTCCCTGATTCCAGAAATGTTTATAGAGCATTCATTTCATATTTAATACCACAAATCCACTTTTTTTTTTTTTAGGGAGGATTTTCTAAGTTAATTGCAAAATACTAGTATTCAAAGGAAGAAGGGAAAAGTGAAAATTACTGGAGTTTATTAAACTCCAGTTTACTAAAATAAAATCTCCACTATATTTGTTTCCCAGAGAAAAACACATGATTTTAGGATGCCCATTAAATCCTGAGCCAAAAGACATCAGTAAAAAGAGAAATTAGGGGCGCCTGGGTGGCTCAGTCGGTTAAGCATCTGACTCTTGATTTTGGCTCAGGTCATGGTTGTGAGATCGGGCCCCACATCAGGCTCTGGGCTGGGTATGGAGCCTACCAAATACTCTCCCTTTCCCTCTACCTCTCCTCTCTCTCACAGTCTTTGTACAGAGAGTACAAAGACTCTCTCTCACTCCCTCTTCCCCTCTCTCTCACTCCCTGTTCCCCTCTCCCTCTCTCTCTAAAAAAAAAAAAAAAAGACATCAGAAATCAGTAAAATTGATACCAATTATGAACTAGGTTCCCAGATAGAAATTTTTTAGCTTCTGCCCCAGTGTAAGATGAAGGCTAATGGAAATAAATATACCAGGTGTAGAAAGACATGAAATAGCCCTTTGTATGCTGTAAATATTCTGTGATGTATATATTTATGTTTGATGGATTGACTATTAATATAAGAACCCTGAAAAATAATTTTTAAAAATTTATAAGAGAAAATTTTAATATCTAGTATTTTATACTTCAGGTGTAAATGAACCTTTTTTCTTTTTCCTGTCTAAATCTTACCTATTTTTCAAGGCGTAGATCTGGCTCATCATAGTGATTATAGCATTTATTGTGAAAATCAGATTCTGAATTTAATCACATCAAGTTCCTCATATCATACCTTGTCTCTCAGTGAGCTATAAGCTCTCTGATAGTAAGAATCATGCTTGCCTGGTTTTATGACACACTGAGTAAATTCTCCAGTAAATCTCAAATACTGAATTAAAAAAAAATGACTTGTATATGCAGTGTTAACTTTTCTGGGGCAAGCAGACATTAATTATAGTAAATAATAAAAAAGATTATGACTGTCCTTAAAGAATAAAGTTGCAGTTTGTTTAGATTCTAATAAACCCCATGGGGATGAACTGTTTTTGTATGAGTATTTCAAAAATAAGCATTTCTTTCTATTGTTTTGTCATAATTCAACTCTCCTCCAGATCTTTGGATATAGGAAATCAAATGAATGCTTCTGAGGAGACAAAAGTTACAAACGTTGGGTCTCAGGTAAGATATTTAGATTATTTATTTATTTATTTATTTATTTATTTATTTATTTATTTATTTCCAAAATTTTCTTTAAATTCTGCATATAGTGTAGCATTGGTTTCCGGAGTAGAATTCAGTGATTCATCAGTTGCATATTAATACCTAGTGCTTATTACATCAAATGCCTTCCTTAATGACCATCACCCATTTAACCCCACCCCCACCCCCTGCAGCAACCCTCAGGTTGTTCTCTATAGTTAAGAGTCTCTTATGGTTTGTCTCCCTCTGTTTTTACTTATTTTATTTTTTCCTTCCCTTCCCCTATATTCATCTGTTTTGTTTCTTAAATTCCACGTATGAGTGAAAGCATATGGTATTTGTCTTTCTCTGACTTATTTCACTTAGCATAATGCACTCTAGTTCCATCCACATCATCACAAATGGCAAGATTTCATATTTTTTGATGGCTGAGCAATATTCCATTGTATAAATACACTACCTCTTTTTTATCCATTCATCAGTTGATGGACATTTGGGCTCTTTCCATAATTTGGCTATTGTTGATAGTGCTGCTATAAACATTGGGGTGCAAGTACCCCTTTGAATCAGTATTTTTCCATTCTTTGGATAAATACCTAGTAGTGCAATTGCTGGGTCACAGGGTAGTTTATTTAGATCATTTTAATTTTTGTAAATAAAGATTGACAGTGTGCTTCATTTGAGGGGCTTTTGCTCTTTAAGCAGTAAAATCACAATTTTTTGATGTCATTCAAGTGGTTGACATTTTTCTTTTTTAGCAAATTGACAAAGTCTTTAACAACATTGGAGCAGACTTTCTGACTGGCAGTGAATCAGAAAATAAAGAGGATGGGTTACAGAATAAGCATAAAAGAGTAAGTTTCTTTACTTGTTCTTACAGTGCACTGATTTATATTATAGGACTTCCTGTAAACTACAGATTTTAGTTGGGAAATACTGCTGTTTAGCATCTTAACAAGAAGCATGCTTTAATAATCTTTATGAAGTTTAAAAATTATCATGGGAACATGACCTGACTCACATTGAGAATAAATAGGCTTGAGAATTTTAATTTCCTTTATTACTCAGCCTCCCACGTGGTAACATTTCTAGATTCCTGCCTTCTTTGTCCTTTTTGCTGCACTTTGTCAGTCACACCTCTTGATAAATTCCAATGTGGCTCTTCTCTGCTTCTGATTTTGAATGATAAATTATAAAGTGATACTTTTCAGTTGAAGTATTGGTTAGTATTCAATATAATAAATATGTCAAATTTGAATTTCTGCTGAGGGCAATTTTTCTTCTGTTCATTTGACAAATACTGGTACCTGTATGTGCAAAGCCAGGAGCTACTGGGCGTTGGGTTTACAAAATTGTAAGAACATTCTGTGAGCTTATAGTTTAGCAAGGTTGATAAAAGAAAAAGGTAATTGTCAAATTTGATTCAGACATTAGCAGTGAAAGAAGCTGTTTACGTTTTCCTTAGCTTTTTGTTGAGTATGAACATGAAGTATTTTTGGAGTGAGATAGATTAGAGTTGAACAAAAGTCTCCCAATTTTATAAAGTGAAATCACCAAATCATATTCCCCTTGCCTGGAAAAAGGTCAATCTGATGAATGGTTTTAAAACAGTAACTTTCTATGCTGGAAGTATTTTAGCAGAGCTTTTGTGAGTTTCTACCTAAAGTTAAATCTTACCATAATTCCAAATATAATTTACTTGTGGCAGTCACCAATACAGGAGTAGTTTGCAAACTACTTGGTGTTGTCAAACATACCAAGACATACTTTACAAAAAAAGACATCTTCTGTTTTACAAGTGGAATTATGAAGTTGCCAGTTGATGTTTTGTTTTGTTTTGTTTTGAGGCATCACTTACACTTGAAGAAAAACAAAAATTAGCAAAAGAACAGGAGCAGGCACAGAAGTTGAAAAGCCAGCAGCCTCTTAAACCCCAAGTACACACACCTGTTGCTCCAGTCAAACAGGTCAGAATTCATTTCTTTTGCATAATTTCAAGCATACTTACTTTCAGGTTATACTTTTGTATAATTTCAAGCATACTGTACCGAAGAAGTAAGTATATAATTTATTCTGCCTACTAGTGTCTATATAAAAATAATGCAGTTTCTAAGAAGTATGGGCAGAAAGGATTTTCCAACAACTCCTCAATAGCCTGCCTAATGTATAGTGTTTTATGATAGTGATTGTAACCAATAAAGAGAAAGTTATATGAATAGGAGGGTTTCTTAAAAAATACTAGGTTTAATGGTACTAAGTAACTCTGTCTACCTTGAAATGATCAGGAATATTATGTTTATGCATTTATGTATTTTTGAGCAAAAAGTAATTTTTAATTTTTGACTTTTCAGTTATAGTCAGGTCTGTAACTTGATTTAGGAATACTTAACTATATGTCCTGACCAATATTTATTTCCTGTTATGTCAGGCACTGTTCTAAGTTCCTGCTTGTAGAGAGTTTACACTCTTACTGGCTGCAGAAATAACTTTATCTTAAAAGCTTTCTTTAAATTATTTTTTGTTATCTCCTAATCACTAAAATTCTTCTTCCGAGAAAAATCTTTGTGGGCCAAGAGGCAAAATAAAAAATATTTTGTAGGTACTTATATAAGAACAGAGAAAACAAATTTCCACAAAATTGTGATACAATTCAAAATATAAAAGTAATAGAATATCCTTTTTGCAATATAGATCTACCAATGAGAAGAGCACATTTCTATTTTGGGGAGCATTTTATTTAATTGGAATTCAAATTTAGTGTTCCCTGTCATCAAATTGATTGCAGGTTGGTTTCATGTTCAGTGTTCATGTTCAATTCAATGTTCATCTGTAAAAACCATATAAAAATATGTGGCTGGCTGGATTTGGCCTGTGGGCTGTGGTTTGCTAACTTGGTAAAGACTGTTGAGCTTAATTTTAACTTGTCATTTACTGACTTTAATTAATTTAGAAATCTTGGAGATAAAGTAATTCCCTCATATTTTTCAGACTAAGGACTTGACAGACACATTGATGGATAACATGTCATCTTTGACCAGCCTATCTGTTAGTACCCCTAAAATTTCTGCTTCAAGTACCTTCACTTCTGTTCCTTCCATGGGCCTTGGCATGATGTTTTCTACACCAATTGATAATACCAAAAGAAATTTGACCAACGGCTTAAATGCTAACATGGGCTTTCAGACTTCAGGATTCAACATGCCGGTTAATACAAACCAGAACTTATTTGGTAGTCCAAGCACACCTGGAGTGACCAAGATGACACTGGGAACACCTTCCACTTTGCCAAACTTCAGTGCTGTGAGTGTTCCTCCTGCTGGTGCAAAGCCAACTCAACAAAGACCCACAGATATGTCTGCTCTTAATAATCTCTTTGGCCCTCAGAAACCCCAAGTTAGCATGAACCAGTTGTCACAACAGAAACCAAATCAGTGGCTTAATCAATTTGTACCTCCACAAGGGTCTCCAGGTATGGGCAGTTCAGTTATGGGAACACAGATGAACATGATAGGACAATCTGCCTTCGGTATGCAGGCTAATCCTTTCTTTAACCCACAGAACTTTGCGCAGCCACCAACTACTATGACCAATACCAGTTCAGCTAGCAATGATTTAAAAGATCTTTTTGGGTGAGGTGTCTTGCTCTATTTTTGAAGAAATACTTCAATTTTAATCATGGGTTTGCTGATTTACATCTTTATATAGTTGGCTTGGAGGAACTACTTCTATGGGGAAGTGACAGAAAACACCTTGTTTCCATGCCAGCATAGTAGTTGTATGGACTCCTAACAGCTGAGTTTTTAAAAGCATTGAGGATTTTTTTCCTCTTACCACCTCCTCTTCAGGTTTTTAAAGACCCAACCCTTAACCAATCTCAAAGAGAAAAAGACACCTGAGTATCTTGAATAGCAGAATTTTTAAATCAAATGTTTATTTTAGCTTGTAAATCTTGGTTTATTTAAAAAATCGAGTTGCTGGTTAATGCAAGTTTCATATGTTAAAATGAATATGAACATGGTACACAGTCTGCCTTCACAAGTCATTAGTCTTCATTTTAATGTGTGAAAAATCTTGATGCTCTGTTGATTTGTTTGCATTTAGTATGACTGAGTGAGATAATGATAAACTTAACGAAAAGGATCAGGTCACTTGCTTTTTCCAATCTTATTTACTTCTCAGATGAACTAAAGTTCAATACAAAAGACTGAGCAAATACTGCAAAATTTTACTTAACGTTGATTTCATTGGTTCGAACTAAAGGCATTATTAACCATCTTAAATGCAAACTAATCATTGTAAATTATATTTTAGCATGGTCTGCCTCAAATAGTAATGTATTTTTCTGCATTTACTTCGATATATTTAGAATCACTTTCTTTCCTACTGTATCACAGACAGAAGAATATGTACTGATTTGTATAGATATTTGACAAAGCCCTCTGACATGATTTCTCTGACTCTTGCCTTCATATTTCATTTTGAATTCAAACTTCTGAGGTTGCAACATATATGAATTGCATTTTCAAAAGGATATTTGTAAGAAACTATATTTAATGATTAAACTTTTGAGATTTCTGCTGTATTGTTCCAAATGTAATAAACTTTACTTCTCTAAAAATGAGCAGTTGTATCTTCTCGCTACCAACAGATTAATTTTCAGCTTATCATGGTAAAGTTGGACCTCATCAATTATTGCAACTAAAGTTTAATTGTTTTCTAGAAATTTTAGGAACTTCTTGTTTGAACGTTTTTATGTCCACAATTAGCCATTTTTAGGAAAGAAAGACAAAATTCTTCTAACAGGAAACATGCTTTATTTTTTAAAGCCTTTCTCTGATACTTTTCTTTGATGTGCTGATTGTTCAACCACAGAGCCTTATGCTGTAAATGTCATTTGTATTTTGTTTAAATTATATTTCACCATTATGTGATAACTTAAAAATGATCTTTCAGAGAACTATATATGCATTATAGTTGCTGCCCTAGAGTTTGTGGTTTTTAAGTCTCTGAAACCAGCAATCATTTAAAATAAATCATATGAAGTTTAGTTGTGTCATTGATATACACACACACACACACACACATACACACACACTAAAAATATACATGGAATATACATTACTTGATTATAAAATGTAATTTGGTGATAGTATTGCTGGCATTATTCAGTAAGGGGGTACTTTAAAAAATAAAAGGTCAGCTTTGTATCTGGTTTCTGTATGAGCTGTATTTTGTTATTATATGGTTTTAGAAAAAAGATTCATAGGAATGTTGAAGAAATTTATCCAAGAAATGAAAGGCACTAGGAAGATCAAATGTTTCTGTCAAATACATTCACATCGTGACCAGATTATCTGTCTTGTTTGTAACACAATACTAATTTTCTCTTGAGAAAAGTTCACATATGGAGTAAATGCCTAATGTTGAAGAATTTCCTTAGTAATAATTTAGTAGTCACTGTTTATGAGGAATTTGCTTTTTATTTTGTAAAATAACTTGATGTCAGTGTTGAGCTCCTAATTAGAAGGAAAGCTGAATATAACAACATATAATTTGAACTTCTAAATATAAAGATAGATTATTTGAAAAAATATTTAATTCTTAGATAATTTTCACATCTTGAAATTTGCTAATTCATTCAGGTAATGGTGCTACATTTTTAGAATTTTTTTCCTACACTTTTTCTGTTTTCTTGAAGATGTTTTATCTAAATCATTTCCATCAATTGAACTGTTACCATTGCCTGTTGAAAAATTACATCTGAGGGGTGCCTGGCTGACTCAGTCAGTAGAGCATGCAACTCTTGATCTCAGGGTTGTGAGTTCAAGCCCCACATTGGGCATACAGCTTACTTAAAAAAAAAAAGAAAAGAAAAAGGAAGAAAGAAGGAAAGAAAAAGAAAGAAAGAAGGAAATTACATCTAAAAGAAACATAGTGCCATTTTTAGGCTTGTATTTCTATGTGAACAAAATTTTCAAAATATCGACATCACTTTAAAATTATTTCAGATATTGACAGCATTTATTAAGCCCTTGTGCTTAGAGTGGAAAGTTGGTGGGTTTAATAAGTACCTGTAGACAAAAATGACAAGAAAGATTCCCTTTATTTGAGTTGGTTCCTTATTCTCCTAATGCTAAAATGTGTGAGAAGATGTATAAAAGGAGATGGAAATGGACTGTGTACTTGGCTGGTTTTTGTTTGTTTTTGTTTTTATTTTGGAGTGCTTATAATTCTTCTTTTCACCTGAACAAGTTGAGGAAGTGTAGGTTTTTGTTATTTTTTTGACCTGTAAAATACCTGACATGGTTGCTTTTACAAGATTAAAAGAAAAGGTGTATGTGAAAATACCTGATAGCAGCACAGAGTATGCACCAAATAAATTTTAGCTTTGATAAAAATCTCCATATTAAGTTGTGATTTTATGCTTTGTGATTTACTGGTCTTGAAATAATTTTTGAGCAAAATGAATCTGTAAGAATTTAAACTATATAGGATTTTAAGAGATCATTTACGTTGGTGGCTTTCAAACTGTAACTGTGACACTTAGTAAGTAATATATCTTCCACTGCAGACCAGTATATAAAATATATACCTGAAACAAAAATTTCAGAAAATGTCTTTAATACATGTGGTATATTCTAATTTTTTAAAAATTCTATCCTGTTCATTACACACACACACACACACACACACACACACACATCTTTACAATCTCCAAAAGAATTTCATGATGTAGTTTGAATAAAACTGGAATAATTCAGCCCATTTTCTAAGCAGATGTAGAAATAGAAGACCAGATACTTACATGGCCTCACCCAAGGAGGTCAGAGCCAGGAATAGAAGCTAGATTTTTTTTTTTTTTCCCTAATCTCCAATCTGATACTCCCTACCATGTTGCATGTTTTATATCGCTTATTGTGTGAATTCTTCTGGAGTTGTTGAGACTATTCTATGTAGCAAGTATGTGTTCAGTACTCATTTGATATCAGAAGTATATTTATGTTGGAAAAAATTAGCATTGAAGAAGGAGAGGGAGATGACAAAACAAATGTTTGTGGTCAGAATCAGCCTCTCTGCTTCTCTGAATTGTGGGGGAGGAGGGCTGGGGGAGCCGGGTTAGCAGTGCTTGCAGTACCCAGACATGGAGCAGAATTAAAGTACGTACCCTTGAGGAGGAGGGGGTGCAGTGGGAAAAACCATTTCGCCAAAATGGAGCTTGTTGGTTATTAGAAACTTTTTCTGTCCAAAGCAGCCAAGTTTCTCCAGCCACTCACTTGCGGTGCAAGCCACATATATAATTTAAAATTTTGTCGTAACCTCATTAAAAAGCAAAAATAGGTGAAGTTAGTTGTGATAATATATTTTAACTGAATAGAGCCAAAGTATTTCAACAAAGAATTGGTATAAAATTTAATGAGATATTTTACGTTTTGTTTGGTAACCTAGTCTTTGAGCTGCAGTGTATGTTTTACACTGAGCACATCTCAATTCAGGCTAGTTACATTTCAGGGACTCAGTAGCCACGTGTTGCTAGTAACAACTATCACATTGTGTAGGTGTATACAGAGGCTAAGTAGCCCTAAGAGTGAACCATGGCAGTTACCAACTTAACTCTCTCCCAGCTCCAAACCCATCCTTTTCTGCCCTGCTTTGTGATGCTGCAGCTGGACCCTATGAACTTGTCTCTTTCGACAGCTTGGCAGAATGTTAGGCTTCATTGATAGAGGGCCCTGAAAGTGACACCACTGCAAAGGAAGAGCTGCAAGAAGACACTTCACTTCTGGGTCCCGGTTCTCCGTTTTGATTCACCGTAGGAGCTCAGCAGCCCCAGCAGGAGAGTTCCAGCCGCGTGCCGGTGAGGCTCTCCCAACCTTACTCCCCCTTTGGAGCAGCTCCCGTGGGCTGCTTCCGTGACAGCTCAGCCATTCCCTCAGGCAGCTAGCTGTCTTTAGTTCCTTAATTTTTTTCACTTTCTCCCAGCCTCGAGGTAGCTGCTTTTTTTCTGCAACTGCTCCTTCTGTACTCAAAGGTTAAAGTCCTCTTTTATCCCTTTAATTAGTTAACCACCTTCTACTGGGTAACAATTATTTAAGTTTCTCCATTCAGATACCTGTGGGTTCTCTCCTGACCACCCTTACTGGTAGACTCCTGAATCTACTGTGCCATTTTATTTTAAATTTTAAAATATTATTAATTTTTTTATTGAACTATAAAGTTGACACAATGTTACATTAGTTTCAGGTGTATACCTTAATGATTTGACAACTCTGTTATTACTAAGCCATTTAAAAATGGGGCCATAGGATATACATTTATGCTGCTAGCAAAAGTGATAATGGGGTTGATTATATATACCTAGCCTATATGAAAACTTTCCTTCCTAAAAGTTCTTTTGAAATGTGCTCATAGTGGAAATATGGTTTAGCTACTTTAATTATTCCTTTTTGATGCAGTTCCAATTTTTATCTTTTTCCTTCTACTTTTTTTGTGTTCCTTTGTTGGTGGCCTAGGTTGCTTGGAAAGTCACCTTTAAATGAGTCAGTGAGACTGAGACTTTAATGTCTAGAGTTTGAAGGTAGGAATCAACATTCATACAGGTCTCTTCTAAGTCTCTGTCCTTAAGCTTGCCAGTTTTTCTAAATGCTATGATCAAATGAAAGTCTGATATGGGGCATTTTCAGGGGACACTAGAAGCATAAGAGTGCATAGGACTGGAGCCAGATAAAGTTGGGGTTTTTTGGGTATGCTTTTAAAAAATTTCAAGCTAAAACGATAGCATTCATGCTGTATGGAGGTGGCATGATTTATACATTTGTTCGTGTGTTGAAACAGATCCAAACTCGTTTTTAAGAAAATCTTGTCTCTAGCAGTAGGTACTCTTTTTTTTTTTAATTTTTATTTTATTATGTTAATCACCATACATTACATCATTAGTTTTTGCTGTAGTGTTCCATGATTCATTGTTTGCATATAACACCCAGTGCTCCATGCAGTACATGCCCTCTTTAATACCCATCACCAAGCTAACCCATCCCCCCACCCCGCCTCCCCTCTAGAACCCTCAGTTTGTTTCTCAGAGTCCATAGTCTCTCATGGTTCGTAACAGTAGGTACCCTTAAGATAACTTTTGTGAAGAGGGGGCAAGGCCTCTCCCTGAAGCAGTATCCTCATTAGGCTGCTCCACTTTCAGAAGGGATGTCCTCTCTCTCCCAGCACCAGTGATTATGCACGTGCCCTTAATCAGCAATAATACCTGCGCCCCAGGTACTTGTCAGAGAACAACCTTTAACTAACTCTATTGCCCAATGTTCAGAATCTCATTTTTGAGAAATGTATGGAAGAGGCCAAAAAATTGAGCAATCAGTCCATTTCTCTAGAAATTGTGAATGAAATTAAGCCCTCTCTGGAGACCTTTGTGTCTGGGGCACCTTTGGCTACACATCCAGCTCCTTTACCACACTTAGCTTTGGACTGTATTGTGAAACTTAAATTCATGCCAGGGATGACAATGGTTCACTCTTAAGATACAATAGCTTCTTTGAGGACCCATAGGAGAAATTTCAGGTTTCAGTTCAGGAGTAAATGTGCTTCTAAGTAACTGGTTTGCCCTTATCTTTAAAAGAATGTCTCTGAATAATGTAACAAATCACATATTAACAGCTGGGAAGTTAAGCCAAATTTGCAGTCTACTTGTAGCAAATGTATAGTATGTTAATAGTATGCACTGTTTAGTGTTTACCTTCTGGTTTTGATTTTTTAAATTCCTCTTTCTCCTTTGTTCTGATTTCCTTTTTTTTTCCTTTGCAGTTTTATAACATTTCTTTAGAAATTCTCATTTTGGAATAAATGTATAAATAAATATATGGAATGAATGAGTTTAAGTCTTGTCTCTTTCACTAGCTGACCACACTAAGTTTTCCCAGCCATAAAATGAGGATCATGCTTTACGGGCTTATTAGGACTAAATGAAATTAAAGTGCGTGAAGTACCTGGCAAGGCTCCAGGCACATAGTAGGTGTTCAATAGATATCCTCATCTTCCTAATGATGGACATAGGCCTCTAAAATAATATCTGTTTGAATGAAGAACAGGTACCTCACCTAGCATGGTTTGAATGCATTCTTCAAAAAAGAAGTCAAAAATAGGTTATAGGTTTGGCAAAGTGAGATTTTTGGGACACAAATAGTAATGAGATATAGGCCTTGCCCTCA